TCCCCACTGCCCAGCCTGGAGCTGGCACTCACCTCCGCCCACAGCGCCTTCCTCCTGCAGCTCCCCCCGCCAGCCAGGCTGGTTGGCAGCAGGTCCCCGGTGGGCCTCAGCGGACAGCACAGTGGGCTCCCCAGCAGCCAGCTCCACCCCTGCCTGCGCCTCCAGCTCGGCCTTGGAGCCAGCCAGGGGGGCCCTCAAGACATCACCCCCCGCCCCATCCATGCTCAGCACCCGGGCGTGTGTTTTGGCGCTGGCAGTACTAGGCGTCCGCTGGGTCCCGTAGGGCCGCTTGGGGGGCACGGCAGTCCCTTCCTCAGCCCCATGAGGGGCCCGGCGCTTCCGGGGACCCCCCGCCGCGCCCCGGGAGCTCTCCGGGGAGTAGCAGGAAGAGGAGGAGCTGTCGGTACTGTAGCGGCGCTGAGATCGGAGGCTGGAGGCCGGGCTCAGCTCACTGCCCTCGCTGGTGTCTTCGTCTTCAAAGAAGCCCCCGCCTTCCAGCAGGGGCCTGCGAGGGGCGTGGCCAGGCGGGGAGTGCCTCCCCACCGGCCGCCGTTTGCTAGGCCGGAGCAGGGCCAGGTCCTTGGGCCGCACAACCAGGAGTGGCTCCGCTGGGCCGGGCGGTGTCCCTGCGCCTATGACCGTGTCAAAGGAGCGCAGCGTGTCATCGGAGGGGCCGCCGGCGTCCGGGGAGGCCGGCAGCTCCGCCTCGGAGGGCGGGTCCGTGTCGCTGCCCTCGGGGGCGTGCCCGCCAGGGGGGCTGTCCAGGTGGGTGGAGTTGGTCTTCTCACTCTTAAAGCTGCTCAGCGTCTCCCTGTCGGTGCCACTAAAGCAGGAGTCCGAGGAGCCAGCTTTCTGGGTCATGGGGTCCCCGGAGCCCCGCCGGTCCAGAGGCTGGTAGCCACCCACGCCCCGGTGCTGTTCTCGTCGACTGCTGGTCCTCACCAGGGCCCGGTCAGGCCGGGACAGGGTCAGGAAGCTCTTGCTCAGCTCCTGGCTGAGGCTCCCCTTCAGCAGGGGACTCATAGGAGTGTCGGCGACACTGCTCCCGCTCCAGGGGGCTCCGTCTCCAGCCAGGGGAGAGCGCTCCGAGGAATCCGTGCTGGGGAGAGAGGGGTCTGGGGCAGCCCCCAAGGGCGTCTGGGGAAGGTCTCCAACTGTCAACAGAAGGAAGGCAGAGGTGAGTGAAGGACACGCTGCCAAAGGGCCTGGCGGCTGAGGGACCCAGGGCCCGTGCTCTCTCTGAGAGCCCAGCAGGGGTAGGACCCCGGAGATGCCCCACCCAGAACAAAGAAAGCACCAGGGAAGCAAAGCTGGGGTGACCCTAAGACAGACAGTCTTCCCCCAAGCCGCTGCCACACCAGGCCCACTCACTCAGCTTCTCCTGGGAGCTTAGCCTGAGCATCTCCCGATCGGCTGAGGTCACGATCACGTTGTTGCTGCCCTGCTCCCGCACCAGCTCCTTGATGTCTGCAACCGAGGCCCGAAGGCATCAGCAGGGCCCAGGGCGGCCGCCCGCCCTCCCCTTCCCCACGGCCACCGGCAGCCTCCTACCTCTGAGCGGCCCAGAGTCCTCCATCCGGGGAAGCAACTCCTGAGCAGATGGGAAAAGATGTGAAGGAGCGAACAGGACAGGAAGTAAGGCCGGGACATACCCACGGTGGGGAGGGCTCCCAGGAGAGGAGCAGCAGAGGCCGGAGGCCGGGACCACTCACCGAGACCTGGTTGAAGCCAAACACGGAATGCTGGGAGCTACAGCGTACCGGGGGCGTGGAGCTCACTTTCCGAAACACTGTCATCTCCACTCCAGGGTCCCTGAGGGAGGAAGAGAGCGTCAGCTAGGAGCTACCCCTCTCTCTTCACATAGCACTTCCTCTGCCATCTCCGTCACTCCTCAATTCCAGCGCCAACCACAGAGCCGCACTGACCACTCACGGAGCCAATGTTCCCTAGGCCCCGCCCCCGTCCCCCAGTGCTCAGGCCCAGGCGCCCCGCCCCGCCCACCTGAGCGGGTTGCTGTCCCCCTGGGCAGCCTCCTCCTCCTGCTCCCCCAGGGCAGAGTTGCGCTTCTCCACAATCTCGCCCTGGTCGAACATGGCGTGCAGCCGGTAGTTCACGGTCTTGATGGCGGTGAAGATGACGGCCACCACGAGGCAGTACACGCCGGCCACCACCAAGCTGGGGGGCAGGACCTGGAGGGGCAGGCAGGAGCAAGTCAGGTCCCTTCTCAACAGCCCGGCCCCCACGGGGTGGCTGCGACTCTCAAACTCACGAGCAGCTCGGCCATCCCTCAGGGAAACCAGTGGGATACCTCGCCAGGGGTCCCGTCTCCTAACTCAAGAAATGACATGAGGTGCTCAAGGTCACCCAGCCCAGCGAAGGAAGAACCTGACTCCTTCTCCACGCGATCCAAACTCTGCGGAGATTCCTCTCTCCGCACCCCGGCACCCAGGGCGCAGTCCCGAACCCCTGCCAGGCTGCCAACCCTCGGTGACATCTGCCTTCACTCTGGTGACGGCGGGAGTTACGGGTAGGCGGCGGGGTCTCACCATGTACAGCAGGAAGGGGAAGGTGAGCAGGAAGATCCAGACGTAGAGGTGGAAGCAGTTGGAGAAGGTGCTCTGGTGCGGGTCGAAGAACCAACCGCCGGTGAGCGAGGCCCACACCCCCTGGCGCAGTATCTGTAACACCTGCGACCCCATCGCCCCGCCACTGCTGCGCGCGCCCCCCTCCTGGGACCCTCATGGGGGCGGCCCCCGGCCCATGCCCCGCCTGGCGCCCGAAGGCCCCGGGGCTGGCCGCGCTCACGCCATGGCCTCCCCCGCAGGGAAGAGGGGTCCGCGGGGCGAGGTTGCGGGCAGGGGGCGGGGCCGGTCGGGGCAGTCAGCGGGGCCAGGCCAGGGCGCGGCGGGGGAGCCGCATCAGGGCCGGGGTCTGGGCCCCCACCCCCGACCCAGAACTGCTCCGAGAGGCCGAACCGGCGAGCGGGCGCGGGGCACGGGCCGGGCACCCGTCGGCGGCATCCAGAGGTGGGCGTGGGGGGTGGGTGCTCCGGAGACGCAGACGACGGCTCCCCGGCTCCGGTCCGGGAGAGCCCCGGGACCCTGAGGTCCACTTCCGGGGTCACAGGTCACTCGCTTCGGGATCCACACTCGCCCCGCTCCCGCAGGCGCCGGCCCAAGGGGGAGGCCGGAAGAAGGTGCCGCGAGCCGCCAGCCTGCGGCGGCGCATGCGCCCGACAGGCCCGGTTGGGACCCGGAAAAGGAAAATCTGACGGCGTCGGGGCGCCGAGAAGCCGGGAGCCCTCTGGGCATGCGCAGAGTCCCAGTCTGAGGGAGGAGCAGCCACAGGGGAGAAGCCCTTGGGCGCATGCGCACCCCTAGGCGTTGCCAACCAAGCGAAAACCTCCGCCGGGCGGAACTGAAGGTGCTCTGGGCGGGCCAAAGAGCCAACGGGCAGGGAGCGAGACCCTTCCCCCGCCCCAACCCCCGCGCGGGAACTGTTAATTGGCGCGAAGCCCTTTGGCTCAGTGGATAGAGCGCCGGCCAGCGGACCGAAGGGTCCCAGCTCTGATTCTGGCCAAGGGCACAGGCCTGAGTTGCGGGCTCCATCCCCAGTAGATGCTTCTCTCTCCCTCTCCCTTCCTCTCAGAAATCAATAAAAATATATATATATTTTTTTTATTTAAAAGCCCTTCCAGTGAAAGTGGTGGGGAAACGGATGGACGTGTGGACCCCTCAGAGTTACAGCGATTTCAGCTCGGCTGGAAGCACCTCCCTCTAGGTCAGCCCCTTTTAGGGCTGGACGTCAAACGTCAGGAGCATCTGTGGACTGGAGCTGCCTCTACTTCCGGGTCAGAGCTCGGATTTGCAGTGCAGAGAGCGACACTCCGGGGCAGGCGGGAGTAGTCAAAATAGGATAGCGTCGTTTTTCTTAAAGTGACAGGCTCAAGGCAATTGGGGTCCACACTGTGGCGGAGGGCGCCTTGATTCTGACTCCAGTCCCTGGGCTACGATCAGGACAGGTGTCAGGTCTCTGCCTGCTTGGGAAGAGGCATGAAGAAGCGGATTGCTTCACCGATGAGGGGCAGAGGAGCGCCTTAGACAACCGGTTCCAAGAATGTGAGGTGCAGCCAGTTCTGCCCTCCTCCCATCTCCCCCACCCGCCCCACCGGCTCTGCCAAGCCCCCATTTCCGACAGGAGAAGGAGGCGCGGAGAGGACGGGTCACGGCGTCGGAGCCGAGACCGGTCGCGGGTCTGCTCCACTTCCGAGCCGGGCTCCTAACTGACGCCGCTGCCGAGGGCGGGGGTGGCCCGTCCTCAGAGACCACTCGGACCGGGGTCGGCGCCACCCTTCCCCCCTCCGGTCTCTCCTCCACCGCGACCGGGAGCTGCCCGGCTCCGTCTCCACAGCCTCCGTCCGGAGCCTGCTACCAGCCCGCGTCATCTGATGCTGTTTCCTGCAGGAGGGAGAAGAGCGGAAAAAAGTGAAACTCCACCCTCCACCTCTGCCTCCCGCCCCCAGGGCCAAAGTACAAAGGGAGGAGGAAGAAGGGAACGGGGTTGGAGCCGTCGGGCCGAGGGAGCTGGGCCAGGAAGGGGCAGCCCGGCCCTGCGAGGGACGCTCCGGCCGCCCCGGCGCCAACAGACCCGCCCGGAGGCCAGCGCTGCCCCTCGCCGCCCCCCCTTCCCGCCGGCGGGCGCCGGGCCGGGCTCCCGGACTGCCGAGGGACGCCCGGGCCCTTCTGAGCTGGCAATGGTGAGACGCCGGACACCCCGGGCTCCCAGCCCCCGAGCCTGACCGCACCGCCGCCGGCCCCCCTCCGGAAGCCCGCGATGCGGCGGGCCCGGAGGCGATCCCGGCTCCCCGGAGAGGCGTGGGTCTGGGCTGAGGCCGGGGCCCGCATGCCCGGGGCCCAGGACTAGGGCCTCCGCGGCCGGCAGGGGTGGAGACCCGGGGCGCCCGGGCCGGTCCCCCACACCCCCGGCGCCGGCGCCCCGCCATGGAGCCCTTGAAGAACCTCTTCCTCAAGAGCCCGCTGGGTTCGTGGAACGGTGGCGGCGGCGGCGGCAGTGGGGGCGGCGGCGGCGGCGGAAGCTGGCCGGAGGGGTCCCCGAAAGCAGCGGCTTATGCCAACCCCGTGTGGACAGCCTTGTTTGACTACGAGCCCAACGGGCAGGACGAGCTGGCCCTGCGGAAGGGGGACCGTGTGGAGGTGCTGTCCCGGGATGCAGCCATCTCCGGCGACGAGGGCTGGTGGGCGGGCCAGGTAGGCGGCCAGGTAGGCATCTTCCCGTCCAACTACGTGTCCCGGGGCGGCCCGCCCCCCTGCGAGGTGGCCAGCTTTCAGGAGCTGCGGCTGGAGGAGGTGATCGGCATCGGCGGCTTCGGCAAGGTCTACCGCGGGAGCTGGCGGGGGGAGCTGGTGGCCGTGAAGGCCGCTCGGCAGGACCCCGACGAGGACATCAGCGTGACGGCCGAGAGCGTGCGCCAGGAGGCCCGGCTCTTCGCCATGCTGGCACACCCCAACATCATCGCCCTCAAGGCGGTGTGCCTGGAGGAGCCCAACCTGTGCCTGGTGATGGAGTACGCGGCCGGGGGTCCCCTCAGCCGCGCCCTGGCCGGGCGGCGTGTCCCCCCCCACGTGCTGGTCAACTGGGCTGTGCAGATCGCCCGCGGGATGCACTACCTGCACTGTGAGGCCCTCGTGCCCGTCATCCACCGAGACCTCAAGTCCAACAACAGTGAGTTTTGGGGAGCAGGGCTGGCGGGTGGCATGGCACTCCCAAGGCTCAGCTGAACCTGCTGGGCTGCTTGGCCTCTGGAGGGAACCAGGATGCTCTGTGGTACTGCCCAAGGGGAGTCCCAGTTGGCTGGGATGCCCACTGCCCCCAAAGCAGGGGTACCAGGCACCAGAGTCCCTCATGCCCCAGCCGCAGTGCTTGGCCCCAGCTTACAGAGGCTGACACACTGGGATCGCTCAGGTGGGCCATAATGGTCCGGCCTAATGATGGCCGCCTCACGGTAGCAGAACACTGGGTGCTGGCACTTGCCTTCCTGGCCCCTAAAATTCACATTTGTGCTGCTGGCTCTCTCCTCTCCCCTCCTCTGTGATGGGCAGGTACTCCAGACAGAGATCTCCGAGGGGAGAGCCTGGGGGTCCTGGGGGTCGTGGGCTGCAACTCCCTCCCCCTCCCCCTGGCTGCATGACCCAGGTGGTTATTTCACTCAGAGCCTCAATTTCAGACTCTGAAAAGGGAGTAACAGGGAGGGGGAAATGGCTTAACAGCCTTGACAAGCCCCGGTGTCTGCTGCCGGCACACAGTAGGTCCTCAGTCCTGAGTGTGGACATTTGGGGATTGGATCACCACCGGGGCCTCGCCTGGAACCAGCCCTTGGGGTGGGTGTGGTGGGACTGGGCCTCTGTCCTCAGCCGTTTGGGAGCGCACACTGCTCAGCAGTGACCACAAGGAGTGAGGAGTTCAGGCGCTTCACACCGGCCACGGGCGGTCAGCGTCCCGAGAGGCGCCCAGCTGAATGCCCAGCGGGGCCTGGCAAGAGCGAAGGCCAGGAGGCGGCACCCAGCACATAGTGGGGGGACACAGGGCTGGGCCTGGGGAGGCCCGGGTGTAGGCTGTGGAGCAAAAGGAAGCGCAGGAGGGGCCGGCGGGATTACTGGAGAGGCACGGGCAGCGCTTGCAGGGTGAGGTGTATATTTTGAGCCTCCTGGCCTGGGAGGGAGAACGCGGGGACACGGTGATTTCCAAGTCCCTGCCAGGCCAGAGGGGCCAGGGGCTGTCTGCCAGCCACCCCCTCCTGTCATCTGTAGCAGGGGACAGTTCACCTCTCGGCCTCACTTCTCGGTTCCAGCCATCTAGGACCCCCAACTCACAGCCCAGCCTGAGGGGGATTCCCCGAAGGCCCCAGGGGGAGGGGACTCCATCTTCTGTTTTTCCTCCAGTTTTCTTTCCAGAAAAAATGGAACAATAGCCCAGGCCCCTGCTCCCCACCCTCCCCACCGCTTCCTGCATTTCCTGCTGCCCCTGAGCCAGCTTCCTGCCCCTGCTCCAGCCTCTGCTCCCTCCCCAGCCCAGCTGCCTACAGGGGAGGAAAGAGCAAGAGCTGGGGGCGGGGGGCTTGTGGGAGAGGAAGGAGCCAGGGATTGCACCCCCACTCCTCTCCGTTCCCCTGCTTCTCTCCCAGGCGGGGTGGTGGTGGCAAAGGGCAGGCAGGGTGCCCTCAGCCTCCCTGAGCCTGGCCTCCCACCTTGCAGACCCCAGTCCTAGGCCTGAGGTACTGTCTGCGGGATTGGGGCGGGGGAGTCCCTGGACTGGGGGGGGGGCACAGGCAGGAAACAATGGCGTGATTTTCCTGGACAATGGGGGCCTTGTGAGGAAGCCTGGCGGGGAGTGGAGGGGGAATTCTCCAGGCCCACGAGTCACAGGACTGACCAGCCAGCCCGGCCTGGGGCTGACCTCCCCCAATTCTCCCCCAAAGGACCCCCCTAGTTGGAGACCTGCGCCAGGCCCGCCCGCAGAAAGGAGAAGTAGAGACCGTGGGAGGGAAGCGGAAGAGGTGTGAGCGGCCGAGGCCACTCCCGAGCCCCACAGAGGCAGCCTGGGGGGGGGGGGGCTGGGGCCAGGCAGCCCTGAGAGGGGGGTCTCTAGCTCTCTCTTCCGATGGCCCCTGACCACCCCGTTCCCAAGGTTCGCATCAGACACCAGAAGGGCACCTTGGGGTGGGACAAATGCAAAGCCCTCGGAGAAAAACGGAGATGCCGGGGAGAGGACGAGACACTGAAGCTGTCAGGTCAAGCCGGGTGGGAGGTGGCAGAATGGCCGCCGTACAAACTAGTCCTGAGACGTGGGGTGGATTATCTGGGTCTCAGATTCGCTGGCTGGAAAGGGGCGCCGGCCTGCCGGACTGAGACTCTGGTGCAGAAGGTGCTTCGCTAGTCTGTGAGGTCCCACCTGTGGCTAGAGACACAGCCAGGGGGCAGCGAGGGCTGGTCTTCAAGAGGACGGGTGGGTCCTGGCACCAGAGGAGACAGGAGTCCCTTCCCAACCCCGGCACACAGACCCCTTTGGCGGGTCCCACTCCAGCCGCCTGCCCCCCCCCGCGAGTGTTGCAGTTCTTGGGAATGAGCTCCTGAAGGCTTTGCTAAACAGCCCCGTGCTGAGCCTCCAGAAGCCAAGCCAGAGCACGCTGTGTAGAGGATGGAGGCGAGAGAGTCTACGGAGAGATGTGAGTGAGGGACATCTTTAGCACACTGGCATTCAGCATGCTCCTGCTGGGGGCAGACCCTGTGCTAAGGCTTCCCTTCAAAAGCAGGATCTGGTGCCGACCCTCCTCGCCTTTATTAACTGCTCAGGACCCAGCCCCTCAGGCTCAGAGGAGAGGGGAGATCGTAGGACCGTTCTCTGAGTGAGGAGAAATGGCAAGAGGATTGGCTGGGCCTGGCGGGATGATGAGGTGGCTGTTGAGGGCCTGTGGGCATCAGGTAGGCCAGCTGGTGGGCAGCTGAATTGACTTCTGGCCTAGAGGTCCAACTGTGGGAGGTGCCAATGGGGGGCGGGCATCCGGAGAGCCAGCACAGGCTGGGAGCAGTGGGCAGAGGTGTAAGAGAGGCCAGGCCCTGAGGGACACCTGCCCTGAGAAGGCTGAGGGCTGGGGAGGCCCTGAAGGAAACACAGGCCGTCAGAGGCCCAGGAGCCAAGGACACAGGCCATCAGAGGCCCAGGAGCCAAGGACAGTGGGGAAGGGTTGGGGAGCCAGGTGCCCCCACAAGGCCCAGGGAGCTTGGCCAGAAGCAGGATCAGGAGTTGTGGCTTTTAGGCCTGGAAAAGTGAGTACCCCGGTTCTGCCACCTCTTCTGAGAAGTCTTCTCTGACTCACGGGGCTGCGTTGGGTGCTGGGGCCCGCCCCTGACCGAGGGCACGCTGGCACCCCGCCCCAGTACCCTGTGCTGCCCCCACTATGCAGCTGCCACCTGGGCAGGAGAGCTGAGGTGTGCTCTGGAGTGACACAGGCTCAGAAATGCCGTTGGCGTGGATGGCACTCCTGCAGTGCAGTTTTCCACAGCGAGAAGAGCAGAGGTCCTTCCAGGGCCCGGCGACTCTGTTATTTGTCCTCTGAAACGCCTCTCCTGGGAGCCCTGTTTTTGCCGATGAGAGGTTTGCAAGTTGCTGCTTCTCTCCGTACAAATACGGTGGCCCCATTTGGGTCAAAGCCATGAGCCCCTGCCAAGTCTAACCATCCGCTCCTACATTTATCCCGGGCTCCTCCTTTCTGGGCAAGAGCCATCCTCGGCTCAGACCCCTCCCTTCCTCTCACATCCAGCGTGAGGAGTTATCTTTCGGAGTCTCGCTCCCTGGGGAGTGGCGGCACCGGCCACGCTGTGATATGGGCACCAGGGGTCTGGGCGCCTGGTGGACTTCCTTTCCCACCAGAGGGCTCCCTGCTGCTCCCCACCCCGAGGGAGGCTCTGGCTCACACTCCTGCGTTAGCAAAGTGATAAGACACAGGTCTCTCTCGAAATGGAGACCATCGGGGCTAGGAGGCTGCTGTATAGCTAGTTTCTATCACTGCAGTGTCCGGAGAAAGTTACAGGCCTGGCTTTGGAACCACACAGACTGGGTTGGAATCTCTGTTTAATTTGTTTGTGACCTTAGTCATTTCCTTGCTCCGTTTCTTCACCTGTAACATGGAGATAAGGACGCCTACCTCACAACACGTTTGTGTGTGACTGCTAGAACTGAATGTATAACGCGTGGCTTATAGCAGCCCCTCTGGAAACATCCCCCCAGTTTGGTTATTTTTGTTCGAATCCATCCCAGCCCCGGCAGTGAGCTCTCCTTCCCGGGCCAGATCGCCTCCTCCATGCCCCCAGCACCCAGCGAGATGTCTGTCAGAGGACAGTTAGCTCCCAGCTCCTCCCCGGTCCCTCCCGCCTGAGCCTGGAGCACCCACAGCCCTGCCTCTCTTCTCCCCCCCCCCCCCCCCCCAGTTCTGCTGCTGCAGCCCATCGAGGGTGACGACATGGAGCACAAGACCCTGAAGATCACGGACTTCGGCCTGGCCCGCGAGTGGCACAAAACCACGCAAATGAGTGCCGCCGGCACCTACGCCTGGATGGCGCCCGAGGTCATCAAGGCTTCCACCTTCTCTAAGGGCAGCGACGTGTGGAGGTGCGGCCTGGACGGAGGCTGGACAGGGCCAGCCGTGGGGCTGCAGAGGGTAGATGTGGCTACCAAAACCCCAGGGCTGGGCAGGCAGGTGGAGCTCGGGGGGAGGCACCCAAGCCGCTTAGTTCCTGGTTGCTTTGGGGTGAGAGGGCAGCGATGAGCAGCAGAGAGGACACGCCCTTCTCTCTCCCACAGCTTCGGGGTGCTGCTGTGGGAACTGCTGACGGGAGAGGTGCCCTACCGCGGCATCGACTGCCTGGCTGTGGCCTACGGAGTGGCCGTTAACAAGCTCACACTGCCCATCCCGTCCACCTGCCCCGAGCCCTTCGCACAGCTCATGGCCGGTAAGGGGACGGAGGAGGCGGGAGGGTGCGGGACAGATCTCCCCGGCTCACAGACCTCTTCTTATTCTGTCCCCCTCCATGCTGTGTCCCCAGATTGCTGGGCGCAGGACCCCCACCGCAGGCCGGACTTCGCCTCCATCCTGCAGCAGCTGGAGGCGCTGGAGGCCCAGGTCCTGCGGGAAATGCCGCGGGACTCCTTCCATTCCATGCAGGAAGGCTGGAAGCGGGAGATCCAAGGCCTTTTCGATGAGCTACGGGCCAAGGAAAAGGTGGGAGGAGTCAGTGTCCGGGGTCGGAAGGAGGGAGACACTCGGGTCTCTTCAGGGCGGAGAGTTGGGGCGGGGCCCGGGCCCTCCCGGACTGACCCGCACCGTCTCCGCTGTCCCGGGCACAGGAGCTACTGAGCCGCGAGGAGGAGCTGACCCGCGCGGCGCGCGAGCAGCGCTCCCAGGCCGAGCAGCTGCGCCGGCGGGAGCACCTGCTGGCGCAGTGGGAGCTGGAGGTGTTCGAGCGCGAGCTGACGCTGCTGCTGCAGCAGGTGGACCGCGAGCGGCCGCACGTCCGCCGCCGCCGCGGCACCTTCAAGCGCAGCAAGCTCCGCGCGCGCGACGGCGGCGAGCGCATCAGTATGCCGCTCGGTAAGGAAGGGGCGGGCCCGGCGCGCCGCCCGCCATTGGCGGCGGGGGCGGGGTCAGGCCTTCGCGCTGATTGGCTCGGGGAGCGAGTGGGCGGGCCCGGGAGCTGAAGGCTGGTCGGGGTTGGGACTCGGCGTGTTTGTGGGTGGGTCCTGGAGGGGATATTTGCATGTCGGCCTGTGAGTGGCTACAACGGGAAAGGGGCGGGAACCCCGGAAGTTCTGGGAAGGCGGGGCGGGGCGGCCTCCGGGAAGCTCGGGCTCCGGCTCGGTCGCTCCTCCGGAGGCTGGAGTCCAGGCAGGAGGAGAGCCCGGGGCCGGGAGGGCGGTACACTGGCCCCGGTCACATTCCCATCGCGCCAGCCCCGGTCCCGCACGGCCTCCGAGCTGGCCCAGGGCCCCTGCAGGATGGGACCTTGGCTTTCCCTCACCACGAACCGGCCCTGCTTCCTTCCCAAACCCAGACTTCAAACACCGCATCACTGTGCAGGCCTCGCCCGGCCTGGACCGGAGGAGAAACGTCTTCGAGGTCGGAGCTGGGGACTCGCCCACCTTCCCCCGGTTTCGGGCCATCCAGTGTAAGCAACCTCACCTCCTCCTGTCCAACCTGATCCGTGGCGGTGGGCCCCGGCCCCAGTCTCCCTTCTTATCGGTCTAGGCTGGCACCTTTGAGTTCCCCAAGCGTTTGTTTTTTTAAACATATTTTTTTACAGAGAGGAAGGGAGAGGGATAGAGAGCTAGAAACATTGGTCAGCTGCCTCCTGCACAGCTCCTGCTGAGGATGTGCCCGCAACCAAGGTACATGCTCTTGACCGGAATTGAACCTGGGACCTTTCAGTCCGCAGACCGATGCTCTATCCATTGAGCAAAACCAACTTCGGCAAGCATTTGTTTTACTAAGTTTTTGACCGGAATCGAACCTGGGACCTTTCAGTCCGCAAGCCGAAGCTCTAACCATTGAGCAAAACCGGCTTCGGCAAGCATTTGTTTTACTAACTTTTTTTTTATTTTTATTTTTTTTAAATATATTTTTATTGATTTTGTACAGAGAGGAAGGGAGGAGATAGAGAGCTAGAAACATCGATGAGAGAGAGTCATCGATCAGCTGCCTCTTGCACACCCCCTACTGGGGATGTGCCCGCAACCAAGGTACATGCCCTTGACCGGAATCGAACCCGGGTCCCTTAAGTCCCCAAGCCGACGCTCTATCCATTGAGCCAAACCGGTCTCGGCTAACTTTTTTTTTAATATATTTTATTGATTTTTTACAGAGAGGAAGGGAGAGGAATAGAAAGCTAGAAACAATGATGAGAGAGAAACATCGACCAGCTGCCTCCTGCACACCCCCCACTGGGGATATGCCTGCAACCAAGGTACATGCCCTTGACCGGAATCGAACCCGGGACCTTTCAGTCCGCAGGCTGACGCTCTATCCACTGAGCCAAACTGGTTTCGGCTGTTTTACTAACTTTTAAAACGTCAAACAGTTGTATGATACTAGTATGTTCTAATGTTATGGGTCCACATTTTTCTAAACGTTTTGCTAATATTGACTTAATTCCTCACGATAACTTTGTGAGGAGCTGTCCTTTTAAGTTTTATAAACAAGGAAAGTGAAAAAAAAGCAACTTGCCTAACACTACACAGCTGGTGACAGAGCAGAATTCAAACCCAGGCCGAGGTCTGCGGAGTCTGTACTGACTGTAAACAGCAGGTGCCCGCTGGAGGACTAGATGAGATGCCCCCCCCCCCCTGCTGCCTACCCCAGGACCCAAACCCACCTACGAAGCCCCAGTTCTGTTAAGTTCTCTGTGGATCGGAGCCCGGCCTGCTCCCAGCTTCTAACCTGTTATCCCCGGAGCCCGGGTCTAACGACGGGAGAGCACAGGGCTCAGAGCCTCGCCCTCAGCTCAGACGCCATTGGTTTTCCCTCCACAGTGGAGCCTGCAGAACCAGGCCAGGCCTGGGGCCGCCAGTCCCCCCGGCGTCAGGAGGACTCCAGCAATGGAGAGCGCCGAGCGTGCTGGGCCTGGGGTCCCAGTTCCCCCAAGCCCGGGGAAGCCCAGAACGGGAGGTGAGTGCCTGAGCATCCCCCGGTCCGGAACTGTCTGCCTTCCCACAGTCCCGAGGCTCACTCAGCACAAATCCCTCCCCTTCCTGTAACCAGGAGAAGGTCCCGCATGGACGAAGCCACCTGGTACCTGGACTCGGAGGATTCTTCGCCCTTAGGATCTCCTTCCACGCCCCCAACGCTCAATGGTGAGTGGCCTTGTTGCCCCGCAGAAGGCTTTTTGCTGTTCTCTTTCTGGGGGGACTGCGGGGAGACCACCAGAAGCCAGCAGGCACAGCAAAGCGAGCCCTGGACCCAGTTTGGAACTGAGGCCCACAGCTGAGCTGGATAGAGCCCAGCCTCCCAGCCCGGAGTCTGAAGAGGCTCTTTCCTGGCTCTCCGGTCCCCCTGGCAGGCCTGGCCCGGAACAGGGCACCTTCCTGGCCCCACGGCAGCCCCTGCGCCCTCGGCAGGCTCTAGAGAGGAGGGAAGATGGGATGGTCACCTGAAAGGACATCAAAGGACATCACCTGCCCACCCAGCCACCGGCTGAGCTCTGGGTTCCCCTAGCGCAGTGGTAGGCAAACTGCGGCACGTGAGCCACATGCGGCTCTTCGCCCCCTTGAGTGTGGCTCTTCCACAAAATACCACGGCCTGGGCGAGTCTATTTGGAAGAAGTGGCGTTAGAAGAAGCTTAAATTAAAAAAATTAGGCTCTCCAAAGAAATTTCAATCGTTGACCTGTTGCTATTTGGCTGTTGACTAATGAGTTTGCCGACCACTGCCCTCGTGCAAGCCGCACTCCAGTCGTCCGCAAGAGTTCATGACCTTAACCTCCCAGCCCCTGCAAGAACTTCCCGCTCCACAAAATACCCCAAAATAACCCGGACCCTAACCCTAACCCAAATAGTGCAGTTCATTTCCGACGCTGTTTGCCCAGAGTGAGTTACCTGGACCCCACAGGTTAGGGGCGCAGTCCCTCAGGTCTGCTCCCAGTCAGGTGCCAGGGGCAAGTCCAGGTTGTCACCCATGTTTCTGACCGCCTGGCTTTGATTGGAGGTTCCCACAGCCCTCCTCGGGTTTGATCATTTGCTAGAGCATCTCAGAACTTGGGGAAAGTGTACTTACTGGGGTACCAGCTGGTTATAAAGGATACGGATCAGGAACAGCCAGACCAAAGAGATGCAGGGGGCAAGGGCTATGGGGAGGGGCATGGGCGCCAACACCCTCCCCGCACGCACCGCTTCCCAGCATGCACCGCTTTCCCAGCGCCCAGCTGTGCTCACTACCCAGGAAGTTCTCCGAGCCCCTTCAGCCGGGGTTTATAGAGGCTTCCTTGAGTGGATCTGATGGATCGATGAAAACATCGTGACTGAACTCAGTCTCCAGCCCCCCCACTCCCCTCCCTGGAAAGTTCCAACTCTAATGATGTGGCTGGTTCCTCTGGCGACCAGACCCCTATCCCTAAGGGCTTTCCAAAAGTCACCCCATCGATGTGAACTCAGGAGTGGTCGAAGGGGCTTGTTATGAATTTTAAGAGGTGCTCCTTTTACCCTTGTCACTCTGTCACTTAGAAAATCCCAGGGTCTGAGGAGCTCTGTGCCTGGAATGAGAGGAAGACCAAGCATGTGTTTCATATTATAAACCACAATAGCAGCTTCACGGGGGAGGCGGCCTCTGAGCTGGGTCTCGCTGGGCGGGAGAGGTGTGCTGGGCGGAGGGAACGGTGTGTGCGCACAGGCGTGGGGCTCGCAGCCCTGAGCACAAGGAAGTCTGGCGGGACGCAGAGCAGGCTGAGAGCCGGGCCGTGACGGGAGAGCGCCAGGCCCGCGCCTCGGGTCTGTGGAGCCAGCGCGGTCCTGACGGTGGGAGTTGGTCAGCTGAAGTTTGTTGAGTGAATGAGTGAGCAAAGCTGGGAAATGAGCAGGCGCCCGTAAGGAAGAGCCTGAAAATGGGGGGGGGGGGCGGTTTACGCAGAGACCTGTCTTCAGAGGCAGAGACTGCGAAAGGGTTGTGGCTGAGGACAGGGACACGCTCCCCACCCCCCAAAACACCCAAGTTCTGATTCAAAGTAGAAGCTCATTTCCCCCAGTTTTAGTTCTTTCTCTTGACACCCGCCCAGTGCTCCACTCTAGGAGGCCCGCGTTACGCTTGGCCCAGGGAGGAAGGGAAGGTGAGGGGCAGGCCGGGGAGGGTTTGAAAGCCCAGCCGAGGAGCGTGGCCTTTCCTCCAGCAGCCACGGAGAGCCGTAGCAGGTCCCAGAGCCACGGAGGGCCGGACAGATTGGGGTGTGACAGGTCCCCTGGGCCCAGGCCTAGGACACAGATGTCCTGCAATCCAGAGCAGAAAGGTTGGGAAGTGGTGGTGGACAGTTGGGCCTCTCAGAGCCTGCCTCATTTCTGGAATAGGACAGTGATGTGTGTCTCTTGGGGCTGCTGTGCACATTGGAGGTCACCTGCTGCCCCCGATAAGCCACCCCGAAGCGGGGACAGGCAGGCAGAGGACCGGGCTCTGCCCAGCCAGGAAGGCTGTGGGCGAGGGGCCCTGGCCCTCACCCTGTCGCCCTGAGGTGCTCCTGCCTGGCCAGCGAGGACCTGGCCAGTGCTTGCCTCTGAGACCCCTTTTCCTCCCCCTGCACCCCCGGCTCTGGCTCCGGGCACCGAGCTGCCTGCGGGCTTTGCCCTCGCTGCTGCTTTGGCCTGCACGGCCTCCCCCCGCCCCCACTGTGAAAGGCTGGGTGTGTGCGATGGGGGAGGACGACCAGCGGGGTCAGGGAGATGGTAACTAGTCCTCACACCAGGGCCAGTGAGGGATACAGAGCACCCCACCTGAAGACCCCCTAACCATGCCCCCCTCGCCACCAGGTAACCCGCCGCGGCCGAGCCCAGAGCCCGAGGAGCCGCGGCGGCCGGCCCCGGCGGAGCGCAGCGGCGGCTCCGGGACCCCCAAGCTGATCCAGCGCGCGCTGCTGCGCGGCACCGCCCTGCTCGCCTCGCTGGGCCTCGGTCGCGACCTGCAGCCGCGTGGGGAGCCCCAGCCAGCGCCCCCCACCCTGTCTCCCACCCAGCCCCCTTCCTCACTGCCCTCCCGGCTCCTCCGCGCCTCCCCCAAGACGCCCGAAGCCCCCACTTCCCGGTTGAGCCCCGAAGCCCCAGGCCCACCCACCCCTGCGCCCCTGCTGCTGGAGCTGGGTGTCCCCGCGGGCCAGCCTTCGGCCAAGAGTCCCCGCCGCGAGGAAGGGAGGCGCGGTGAGTGGCCGGGGAGGCCTCCTGCCTGGTGAGGGAGGAGGGAGGAGGGAGGGCGGGAGGGAGGGAGGGCGGGCTGGCGGGCATGCAGGCAGTAGGGCCAGCCGCCTGGTCTCCGCTGGGCCCCCCACCTGGGCTGGGCACGCTTGAAAGGACCTGAGTCCTAAGTTCAGCCACCAGTGTCCGGAGTGGAGCGGGGCCATGCTGGCGGAGAAATAAAAGGAATGAGGGTGACAGCAGTGATGGCGGGTCCTGTTTTAGTGCTTCGCAGAAGTTGTCTCGGGGCCTGCAGGAACCCTGTGGCAGCTGCTCTGGTAGGCCCATCTCTGATGGGGAACGAAGGCACAGGGAGAGCCAGGGACTGCGGCTCCCACTCCCCAGCCCAGGCCGCCCGCCCCGGGGGCCTGGCTCCTGACCTGCATTAGAAGCGGCGCCATGAGCATGAGGGGCGGGAAGTGAGGAGGCAGGCAGCTCGCCGTGCGGATGGGAAAACGGGCCCAGAGGGGGCGCGCCTCCTGGGCACCCAAGGTAGGTGCTGCCTGACCCTCCGCTCCTCTCCCTCTTCCCAGGAAGCACCTTCTCACCCCCGCCGGGGATATCCCGCTCTGCCCCCGGCACCCCAGGGACCCCGCGCTCGCCGCCCCTGGGCCTCATCGGCCGGCCTCGGCCCTCCCCCCTGCGCAGCCGCATCGACCCGTGGAGCTTCGTGTCCGCCGGGCCGCGGCCCTCGCCCCTGCCCTCGCCGCAGCCTGCGCCCCGCCGGGCGCCCTGGACCTTGTTCCCAGACTCAGACCCTTTCTGGGACTCTCCACCTGCCAACCCCTTCCGGGGGGCGCCTCAGGACTGTCGGGCGCAGACCAAAGACATGGGCGCCCAGGCCCCGTGGATGCCGGAGGCGGGGCCGTGAGTGGACCGGCTGCCCCCCACGCTCCAGCTGCCCCCGAGGAGCCACAGCATACACTGGAACAGGAGCCGGGCCGGCCTCTGCCGCTGCCCCGGCTTCCCCCAGGGACCCGCCCCCCTTGGGGGCCAGGAACACTACACTGCACAGGAAGCCTTCACACTGGATGGGGGGGCCTGCACCCCCCGCATGCCTGCAACCTGTGGGTCCCCCGCCTTACCTGCCCCACGGGGCCCGACACTGTGCCCAGCTGGTTGGGAGGACCATAGCCTGTCTCAGGGAATCGCCCCCAGGGGTGGCGCAGGGAGGAGGGAGGTGCGAGGGCGAGGGGCCGGCCTCAGCTGTCACCAGCACTTTTGACCAAGTCCTGCTACTGTGGCCCCTGCCCCCGGGCTCAGTGCCTGAACCCCCTGCCCTGGGGGCCGTCTAGGGCCAGGGTTCTCTAGGTGCCTTCCTGCCGCCCCGGCCAGGGTTGGGGCCTTGGCCTCAGGATCCAATGAAGCCAAATAAACTCCCCAAGCTATCGCCCCAAGCACAGCCTGTCGCCGTTCTTGGAAGTAACCAGGGACCCAACCCCCGGCAGACGGGCAGTGGGCCTGGGCCTGGGCCGGTGCCTTGCGCCACACCCTCTCCTGGGGTCCAGCCCACCAGCTTCAGGCAGGCATTCAAGGCCCTTGTCAGCCTCCCTGGCACCCACCCAAACTGGCCTCACCCACCTCCTCACCGTGCCAGGCCCTTCCGGCCACCGCAGGTGACCGTCTGATTGGTCCCGCTGCCGGAGGCCCCTGCTTGGCCTATGGGGCCAGTTCGTGTGACCTCGCCTGGGACTCGGCCTCGCTGCTCGCTGGGCAGCATTCCGGAGGTCTGTCCTGGCTGGCTGGCTGGCTATCCCCAGGTCTGGACACAGGAATGAGCCTCCCTGGCGCCTGGCTCCACTCACACTCCTATCACCATGGGGTCCCGAGGTTTATGGGAGTCCAGTTTGGGCTCCCCTCCCCTCCATGGTCCACGGCAGCCAGGCTCACTGTCTCCAGTGCTGGGGAGCAGGGCGGGTACCAGGAAGGATTTGGAATGGGACCTGACAGCACCATCCGTCCCAAGTGCTCTGTGTCCTCCACGCCTTGCCACCCTATCCCCACCAGACCCATCCCAATCCAATACCCTGTCCCACTGAGCTGCCCAGGCCACTGCCCTCCATCCAGGAAGCAGACAGTAATGCCCCCCATAGGTCTCCGGAACACATTTGTCCTCCAGGCCCTGTTCCTCACCCTCGGCCTGTTCCTCTCACACCCAGCCCGCCCTTTCCCACCTTGACAGCCTCTTCTACCCCAGCTGAACTGTCACTCCTCCAGGAGCCTGCCCCCGAGGGCCCCTGCTGCCCAGGCTCACCCGCTGCCAGGGGTGCCTCAGGGAGCAGAGGCCAGGTGACCCACAGGCGTCCTTGCCAACAGGTGTCCTGTGTGAACAGAGAGGAAGGGACGTGTCTGTCCTCTCCCGCCGTGTCCTCGGGATCCAGGCCACGCCGAGTGGATGGGGAGGGCGGGTGACCGAGGGGTCGTGTCCCTGGTAAACCACTGCAGTGCGGTTCTGAGCCGTTTACCTCTCCGGGCCTCGCCTTCCTCCACCTGGGCCTCAGCACCCAGCTTGGGGGAATTGGGCAAATAATGGCCGTGAAACTGGGAGGCGTGAGCCAGCTCCTCTCCTCCCATTCACACTCACCCAGCTGGGTCCCAGGCCTCACTCTCAGCCACCCACGCGGCCCCTCCTCCCGGCCCCACCTGCCAACCCTCCCAGTTGCCTGAGGTGGAGCAGCCGGCTCTCAGGACACCTCAGACTCGCGGGCAGACACCATGGGGGGGCTGAGGCCCTGGGCTCGATACAGGCTGCTGACTGCGGCTCACCTGCTGGCTCTGGGCCTCGGGGCTGCGGTGCTCCAGGCCCTGGAGGGGCCCCCCGCACGCCGGCTCCAGGCCCAGCTCAGGGCCGAGCTGGCCGCTTTCCAGGCAGAGTATGGGGCATGCCTGCCAAGCGGGGCACTGGAGGAGCTGCTGGGCACCGCCCTGGCAGCCCAGGCCCATGGGATCTCCAGCCTGGGCAACGTCTCCGAGGCTGGGAACTGGGATCTGCCCTCAGCCCTGCTCTTCACTGCCAGCCTCCTCACCACCACGGGTAAGGCTGCCAGGTGGCTGGGCAGAAGGGAGCCTCCTAATTCCTGGGGTCCCTGGGGGCACAACCCTTCCCCCAGCTCCAAAGTGCCAGACAGAACCCAGGCCCTATGAGGCCTGACATCACAGCTGGGTCTCTCCACACCAACACACCCCAACTGGTGCCTCAACTTCAGCTGCCAGGAGGGGCGTGGCCTCCCAGCCCCACCCCGAGGCACACTTTGAGCCCCAGGAGAGGTGCCCAGACCCCATGGGCCTGCAGCAAGGCAGGGAGCAGGTCATGGGTGGGTTCCCGGGCCGAGGGAAGTGAGGGAACCTGGGAGCAGGGTGAGCAGCACTGGCTCCGGAGGGAAGGCTCCTCGGTGAGAAGTTTGAGGAGATGGCAGCCAAGGCGCAGATCTGAGGGGAGAAGGGATTCCCGGCAGAGGGAGCAGCAGGTGTGAGGGGCCGAAGGAAACACGCAACGAGACACGCAGCCCTGGCTTTTTTGGTTGGTGCTTTTTGTCAGCAAAGTCACTAAATATTTTTTTTTCATCTGTTTTCCAACTTCGGTTGGAAAAATCAGAAAACCTATTTGCATTGAGCCAGGATTCCTGCAGGCCCAGCTGGCAGCAGCAGCGGGCGGGCCTGTCCTTCTGGGCAGAGCACAGGCTCTCCAGGGCACCAGTCCCCACCGCTCCCTTTTGTCTCCTGCTGCCTCCACTGCCTGGCGCCTCCACTGCCTGGCTGCTCAGGCGTCTGAGTAAACACGCTCTGGATGAGCCGGTCCTGTCCTCCGCTGTCCCACTCTCCCTGCTTCCCGCACGCTGCCCTGGCACGGAGGCCCTTTCCCGGGCAGCAGCCTCTCCGCCAGCTCTTCTGGGGAGAAGAGCCCGGACAGACTTCCCTGCCCGTCTGCCCAGCGCATGGCAGGGCCTGAGCAGACCCAGATTCCAGCCCTGCGCCCAGCACGCAGGATAACGCGAAACCCCTTTGGGGAATGAAAGGGTGGGTGAGGCCTGCCCAGAGGGTGCAGACTGAGGTTCTCAGAAAGCCAGACTCCTGGGGCAGGACAGCAATTCTCAGAATTGTCCCAGCTACAAGAGGACTGGGGACAGGCTGCCTCTTTCAGTTTTTCATCTTAAAAGCAGTCCAAAGAGGTTAAGGGACTTGCCCAAGGCTCTCCCGTTGATGGGGAGCAGAGCCAGAGCCCCAGCGGTTCCAGCAGTTTCAGCCACTAGAGGGCAGCCTTCCACTGAGGCGCTGGGGGAAGCGGGGACCCTACAGGCATTGCACACAGGGACTCACTGCGCACCGTCTCTCTCCTGTCCAGGTTACGGCCACATGGCCCCACTATCAGCAGGCGGAAAGGCCTTCTGTGTGGTCTACGCGGCCCTGGGGCTGCCAGCTTCCCTAGCCCTGATGGCCACACTGCGCCACTGCCTGCTGCCTCTGCTGGGCTGCCCGGTGGCCTGGGTAGCTGTCCGCTGGCAGCTGGCCCCAGCCAGGGCCGCGCTGCTGCAGGCACTTGGTCTGGGCCTGCTGGTGGCTGGCACCTTCGTGCTGCTGCCCGCGCTGCTGCTGTGGGGCCTGCAGGGCAACTACAGTCTGCTGGGGGCCATCTACTTCTGCTTTGGCTCCCTCAGCACCATCGGCCTGGGGGACCTGCTGCCTGGGCGTGACCGGGACCTGAATCCAGTGCTTTACCACCTTGGCCAGATCGCACTTCTCGGTGAGTTCAGCTGCCAGCGAGCACCCAGGGGGAGGAGAGGAGCCTGGACTACAACTCCCATACACCACTGGGGGAGCTGAGCCTCACAGGGGTAGGGGGTTTTAGATGGAAGAACCAGGCAGAGAATTGTGAGCGGCATCAGGAACCAGGGTGGGTCGCCAGGCTAGAGGGGGGCGAAGGGCGTCGAAGGCACCCCCAAAGCTGCCCTGGAGCCTTTCCTCCCAGGTTACTTGCTCCTGGGGCTGCTGGCCGTGCTGCTGGCGGCGGAGATGTTTGCGGAGCTGCCGCAGGCCCGGGCCCTGGTGAAGCTCTTTGGGGCCAGTGGCCCTTTGGCTGCCGAGGACCAGGGTGGCATCCTGGGTCAGGATGAGCTGGCTCTGAGCACCCTGCCCCCCTCGGCTGCAGCCCCAGACCAGGCCCCGCCTGCCGACCGGTGATGGCGTCAGGTGACGGCGTTAACTCCTCTATCCCCCAGAGGCGAAGGGGAAGCTGGTTGTGGGAACTTCAGAGAATAAAATGTTAAAAAAATAAAATGGTTGCCCTGGCTGGTTTGGCTCGGTGGATAGAGCGTCAGCCTGCGGGACTGAAGGGTCCCAGGTTCGATTCCAGTCAAGGGCACATGCCGGGTTGTGGGCCCCATCCCCATTGTGGGCCCCTATGGGACGAGCAGGAGGCGGCCGATCGATGAGTCTCTCTCATCATTGATGTTTCTCTCTCTCTCTCTCTCTCTCTCTCTGAAATCAATACAAATGCATATTTTTTAAAAAGAGTGGAACTTTAGCCGAAACCGGTTTGGCTCAATGGATAGAGCGTCGGCTTGGGGACGGAAGGGTCCCGGGTTCGATTCTGGTCAAGGGCATGTACCTGGGTTGCGGGCACATCCCCAGTAGGGGGTGTGCAAGAGGCAGCTGATCGATGACTCTCTCTCATCGATGTTTCTAACTCTCTATCACTCTCCCTTCCTCTGTACACAATCAATGAAATATATATTTTTTTTAAAAAAAAGAAAAACAATGAGATTTTTTAAAAAGTGAAACTTTAAAAAAAATAAAATAAAATGGTCAACAATCCCAACTCCGTTTTTTGTCTCTTCTTTGGAAATGGCTGTTCCCCCGTCACCCCAAAGCCCATCAACCTTGGAAGGTCCCCCTCAAAGCCCGCACGGCCCCTTTAGGATCGCAGACATCCTATCGGCCTCAGCGCCAACCCCTTCCCCACAGAAAACCGGCCGCCAGAGAGAGCCGGTGCGGCGAGGCCTCGTCCAACTTTATTGCGCGCGGGGCGCGGGGCGCGGGAAGCCACCCGGCCCGCCCCGCGGACACTCACTCACAGACAAATGAAAATAAATAGGCCGGGCGCGCTCCCTGCCCGGACCGAGGCCGCCCGAGCCTCCGGTGAAGGCGCCGCAGCGCCCCCTGCAGGCGGGCGGCAGCGGGAGGCCGCGGCGCCGGGAGCGCCGGGGCGGCGATGGGGACGGGAAGCGGGGCTCCGCGGGGCTCAGCTCAGCGCGCAGCGTTCGCGCCGGCTCAGCTGCCGGCTCAGCTTGCGGCGCCGCTGCTCCAGGCCGCGCTCCAGGCGCTCGTCCTCCTCCAGGGCGCTGCGGGGGGACGGGGGAGTCAGCCCGCGGCCGGGGGGGCGCTCCCCGGCCGCCCCGCGCCCCGCGCCCCGCGCCCCCGCCCCGCGCCCCGCGCCCGCCACTCACATCCGCTCCTTGTGGTCCAGGTCCCGGACCAGCTCGTCGCGCTGGTTCACCAGCGACACCAGCTCCTCCAGCAGGAGCTGCTCCCGGTGCTTCTGCGCCGCCGTCTTCAGCCAGTCTGCGGGCGGGAGGCGGGTCAGGAGGCCCGGCCGCGGCCCGCCCTCCACCCCGGCCCTCCGGCCCGTCTCCCACCTTCGATGGCCAGCATGGCCCGTAGCTCCCGGCTCAGCAGCTCGAACCTCCGCTCCAAGTCCTGCTCCTCAATGCTGGAAGGCGGGGTGACGGGTGCCCGGTCAGGGGAGGGGAGGGAGAGCCACTCCCTGGCCCCCATCCACCGCACCACCAGGTCCGAGGACTGGGCTGAGGGCAGAGCTATCTCCTGGAGTCAGCCCTCGTCCCCCAGTTGTTGGAAGTTATACTGTCTCCTCCCATCCCCCACCCCTTTTTAATTATTGATTTGAGAGAGAGAAACATTGATATTGTTGTTCCACTTACATATGCATTCATTGGTTGCTTCTTGTATGTGCCCTGACCAGAGATCAAACCTGCATCCTGGCCTTTCAAATCACTGTGCTACCCGGCCAGGGTGCCCCACCCCTTTTCAAAATATAAAACAGCCCTGTGTGTTGCTCAGTGAGCATTGCTCCCTGCACTGAATGGTCGTGGGTTCAATCCCAGTTGGGAGACAGATGGGAGGCAACCGATGGATGTATCTCCCTCTCTCTCTCCCCCTAGAATCAATGAAAAAAAAAAAAAAACATTTCCTCTGCCACCCAGCGGGATTATTTGCATGAACATTACTCATAAACAGCAGGCGTTAAACTTATTCTGAAAAATCCCAAATGCAGGACGGCCAAGGCGATGATGGCCAGAGGGCTCCTCTGATGCCACTGGGACACCAGCTCAGGTCTCGCTGGGCCTGTTTTCCTGACTGTAAAGGAACAGGGTCAAACCAGAGCCTCCGCCCCCGCCTGTCTGCACCACATTTCTCTCTCATTAGTAAAATTAGCACCAACTTAAGAGGCACACGCTTTAAACAGGAAATGGGGGGATAAGATGGCTGAGCAATTCTTCAAAAAGATCTTCACAGAAGCAAGCAGGGAGTCGCCCTAATCGAAGGTGCAAAGCTCCTCAGCTCTGGGCGGGGGGTGGCGGGGGCCTGGGCGGGCAGGGCCGCACTCACAGCAGCTGCAGCTGGTCCTGCCTCCGGATGAGTGCGTTCTTCTTGTTGACCAGCGTGAACCACTCCTGGATCAGCACCTCCTCCTGCAGCTTGTTGGCACCTGCATCGGGCCCAGAGTCACGGGCCTGCCCCGAACCCTTATGGCGTCCCAGAAGCCAGAGCGTGCCCAGCGAGCTGCTTCCCCGCGCAGGGCCTCAGGGTGCCAGCTGTCGATGGGGATGTGAACCCGGTCTCGCCTGCCCCCGGCTCCCCCAGGCCGGGAAGGGCTGCAGGTGGCCCCCGTTGGGGCGCGGACTCCGGACGCCCACCTGATGCCATGAGGCTCCTCAGCTGCGTCTCCACCTCAGCCGCCCGCCCGTCTATCTGCCTCTGCTCCTGCTCCAGGGCCTGCAGCTCCGCGCACACGTACTGGCTCGTGTCCTGGAACCGTTGCTGGTGAAAAGGGCGGGGGTCAGGTGGGTTCCCCCAGGCCCTGCCGAGGGAGTGCGGCTCACCAGCCCCTCCCGCCTCCGCCCTCCTTACCAGCCCGGCCTCTTCCCCTGGGCCTGGGGACAGCTCCTCCGCGGGGGGACTGCCACCTGCAGAGAGACCAGGCTGAGGCCCCCCCAGCGACACCCGCCCCCGGAGGCCCCCAGCGCAGGGTCCCTGAGCAGCTTGGGCTGGGCTGGGTCCGCCCCTCAAAACTACTCACCAGGAGGCTGCTGGGGGGCCGGGGCTGGGGGTGGGCTGGGGGCAGGGCTGGGGCCTTCCTGTGGAGGAAGGAGACAGTGAGGGCTCGGAGGGGCTCAGCCAGAGCCTTACCACGCAGGGAAGGACCCGCAATTCCGTCCCTGCCCACCCAGCTGTGTCTCCGGCCCTGCACACACAGCACCCCGACCCCCAGCTCCTCGGGGGTGCCTCCTCAGAGGAAGGAGGCCTTCTCCTCCTGGCCCCGCGGTCCCGGCCAGTCCACTCTCTGAGCCTCTGGGGTGAAAGGCTGTGAGGCGGCCAGCTGGAGCCCCCCCTTCCCCCCATGCCCCTCTCCCATGGAGCCTCCCCTCTCAGGCCACTCTGACTCCTGGCATCCCCGCTGGGCCCCACACAGAGACAGAGCTGGCCTGATGCAGCCATCCCGACCCAGCACCTCCACCTACTACCAAAAGGGGGTGCTCTCCTGTTACCAATGTCTATGTCTAGAGCAGCCCCACGGCACACATCCCTCAGAACAGGAAAGCTGCCTGGAACTACCATCTTAGACTGGAAGGGCAGGACTGGCCCCTGATGTGCCCCACTCCTGGCGACTCCCAGGGACTGGCCTGGGGGGGGCCCCAACTTCAGCTCAGCTGACAGCCAGGCCCCATTGATGGTTCCCCACTGTCCACCCCACCCTGCACCCCTCTGAGAAGGAGTCCCAGACACCCCTTGCTCAGGTGCCATCTCTCTGGCCGGAGTCAGAGTGGACTCTGCACCAGCCGCTCCCCGTGCCCCGCCTGTAACACCTCAGGCACACCGAAGGTCTTCCTGAGCCTCCGCCTCTCCAGCCACAACCCCAGCCAGGGCCCCCTGGCAGCCGGAGCCTCACTCCCACCACCCTGACCCCAGCCAGGGCCCCCCTCCAGCTGCAGTCATGGACTTCACTTCCCCAAGCAGCTTCCTCAGCCTGGAGTCAACTTGACCTTCACATCCCGGCTCAGCTCCACCCCCTCCAGAAGCCCCTTGGGGCTCCCGTACCGCTTCCTGCTTCCCTCCATGCCTCCGGAGCGCCCCTGAGCCCCAGGCTGGGCAGATGCTTCCTCCATGGCCTGCTGGACCCCCCCCCCCCATCATAACCCCCCATCGTGCTGTCAGTTCCCCGTGTCTCCCCGGCCAGAGGCAGCCCCTGCAGACAGGGTGGGCCCAGAGCACACGGATTACCGTAAAGCATGATTATATTATCATTAAAGAATAGCTGACATTGACTCAGCGATCATACCCTGGGCACTCTGCCTGTATTCGCTCACTTAGCTCCCCAACAACCCCGAGAGGCAGGCACGACTGCTCTGCCCACTTTACAGACGAGGAAACTGAGGGTCACAGGTGAGGCTCATACGGAGCCTGGCCGAGGGCCCAGGGATGTCTAAGCCAAAGGTTTGTTCCCGGCTGGGCCACCGATTCGCTGCTTGCCTCTAGGCCAGTGGTCGGCACACTCATTGGTCAGCAGAGCCAAACATCAACAGCACAACGACTGAAATTTCCTTTGCGAGCCACATGTTTTTAACTTAAACTCCTTCTAACGCCACTTCTTCCAAATAGACTCGCCCGGGCCGTGGTATTTTGTGGAAGAGCCACACTCAAAGGGCCAAAGAGCCGCATGTGGCTCTCCAGCCGCAGTTTGCCGACCACAGCTCTAGGCTGAACAGAACCACTGGGCCTCTGTGCTCTTGAATGTCAAATGGGAAGAAATCCCAGCCCTGTGTAACCTGTAGCTCAGGCTCCAGACAGACTCCCTTTTCAGAGACACCTGAGGGGGTTCCCGGCCTCTGCCTCTCGTGGTCAGGAGAAGAGCACAGAGGGAGGGGGCTTCCCTAGGTCACTCAGCCAGTAGTGCTGGCCCAGAAGAAGCCAACTCAGGAGCCGGTTCATACTCTTTGCCTCTGCCACCATCTCCCTGAGCCTCACTGTTCCCACCTGCGAAATGGGCTAGTCATTCCCCCAGGAAGGGGCACGGTGAGGAGTCACATGGGTGTGGAGGTAACAAGGCCCAGCAAGAGCTCACCACCAGCAGGCAGGGGCAGGACAGCGCAGAAACCCAACCTCAGCAGCTGCCGAGCTTACTCACAGCAGCACTGGTGGGAACTCCAGCACTTCCTCCTGTCTGCCCAGATCCCCCTTCCTACACCCCGTGTGCGGCCCCTGCTCCCTGCTCCCGGAAGCCCTGCTGAACCCCACCGGGGCACCCAGCCCTCCTTAGGGCTTTGCTGCGGCCCCACCCCGGCCTCAGGGTGCCGCCTTCATCCTCCTCCAGGACGCGGGGAGTGCCCAGGGCGAGGCCGTCGGACACTCCCCTCTCACACAGAGGCATGGGGGATGGGAGCCCTCCCTCTCCGTCCCATCGGCCCAATATCTCCTGCGGGACAAGAACAGGAAGAGGCCTGGCTTGGAAGGACCAGGAGACTGTAGGATGAGGTCTCCCCTTTATTTTTTTATATTTTAATCAATTTCGGAGAGGCAGGGAGAGGGAGAGAGGATAGAAACATCAATGAGGAGAGAGAACCATTGACTGGCTGCCTCCTGGCCCGTAGGTAGGTAGACGCTCAACCACTGGGCTGTGCCCAGGCCGGCAGACTGGCCAGGCCGGCGGCTGTGTCCCTCTGACTCCTGTCAATCACACCTCCTGGGGCGCCTCGGGGCCCTCCCTGTGTCTCCTCAGGGCTCAGGGCTGTGCCTCTGACCCTGCCCTCAAGGCTTCTGCTCCTCCCCCTGCCTCACCACTGTGTTTGGCTTGTGGGGGGGGGGGGGGCTCCACTTTAGGACCACCCCTCCCATCCCCCACTCCACCCCGGAAACCTGCCTGTCCTATCCGCCTGGCTCAGAAAAGGCTTTCCCCTCAGTGTATCCCCTCCTTTCCTTAGAACCCGGGAGCCATCCCGGGCAGCTGGAGGCTGGAGTGGTCTGGCCGCTGCTCCTGCCGTCACAGGCAGGATGGTGTAGCGGGCAGACCGGCTGGAAAGCCCCCGGCCTGGACTGCAGTGGCTCGGAGTCAGTCCTTGCGCAACCCCCTGCCCCCTCTGGGACCAGCTCCCCTTTAAGATCTGTGGCGACCACGTGACACCCCGGCAGCCTCTGGCCTGAGACCCAGGGGATGAATGGAGTAGGAGGGTGCCCAGCGGGGTCTCCAGTCTCCAGCGCCCCATCACCACAGGAAGGAGGAAACTGGTTTCCAGTGTAAGGAGCCACGCCAGAGACTCAGTGCTGGGAGGCCCTGCGCGGCCCACGGGGGGACGGACACGTTGCCCCCAGCCGGCGAGGCAGCAGCGACTGCTACCGGCTGACCTGGGCCACCTGCAGGGGAAGGAGGGCCAGCCCACTCGAAAGGCCACACGGAGTGCCGCCCTGCGCGCCCACCACCGGGACCTCTGGCACTTTCCCTCTGGAGCCCACGATTCCAGGAGCTGGTGCCAGCACTTAACCGCCACCAGCAGGCACCCACCCACGGCCCGGCCGGGGCTCTGCCCGCTGTCGCTGGGGGCCCGGCGGCCTCGCTGGCTCTTCCCTCTGATCGGAGGTGCCTCCCTGAGCCCGCGAGTCCCCCAACCCCAAACCTTACCCCGCGCCAGCTCTGCCCTGCGGGCACCCGGGACCCGCCCTTGGCCCTGTGACCCGCCCTTGGCCCTGTGACCCCGGGGGAGGGGGTACTCACCGCGGCCGCGGCGCCGGCGTCCGGGTCTTCGGCGGAGAAGGAGCTGCTGTTCCGCAGCCGCGAGCGGCGCTTCCGGAGCAGGTCGGCGTCCCGCACGTGGGAGAAGGAGCCGTGCGCGCGGGGCGGGGGCACCGGCCCGGCCTCCCCGTTCACCGAGGCCCGGCGCAGCCGCACGGCCCCCGCGGGCGCCGCCGCCCCGTTCACCAGCCCCTCCGCCGCCGGGGCCTCCGCCGAGCGCGCCTCCGGGGCGGCCCCGGCCCCCTGGTCCTCGGAAGCGCCCTCGGGGGCGGCCCCTGCCCCGCGGCTCGCGGGCTCCTGGGGCTCCTCGGGCGGCTCCGCCCGGTGCTCCCGCAGCCGCTGCGCCAGGCCGCTGGCGTCCAGGGCGTCGGGCGGGCCGGCCTGGGCGCTGGCCACCCGGTACTTGCCCGCGCGGCCGCCGCCCTCCAGCTGCACCAGCTGCAGCTCCTGCCCCGTGCAGAAGGCGCGGATCTGGCACAGGTACGTCATGACGATGAGCTTGTCCGGCACCGACAGCAGCACCATGTCCGCCGGCTCCAGCAGCCGTGCCACGCCCAGGGCTGCGAAGCCGTCGAAGGCCTGGGGGCGGAGGGCGCGGGTCAGCGCGGCGCCCGGTGGGGGCCGTTGCCCAGCTCCGCTGTGGCACCGCCCTGGGCCGCCCAGGCTCCCCTCGACCCCGCGTGCCAGGGTTTGCCTAGCAACGCCTCCGCTCTCCCCTTGGAGGGAGCGTCGCAACAGTGCAGCGCTCATGCAACCCAGCAACGGCGCAGGAAGGGGCGGCTCTGGAACAACCCACTAGTGGAAATACGCTTTAACGCCCTCACAACGAAACTGGGACACCAACAACTGAAATTTTAAAAGACCAGAAGGAAAAAAGGTGGCAGAACTTCCAAAAGCCACCTGATTCCGCTCCTGCAGACACGATAATGGACGGCAATCTTGGCCTCTCTTCCCTCCCGCCAGGCCCTGCTCCCCGCCCCCCTCACCTGCTTGTTGTTCTGCTTGATGTTGAGCGGGTCCAGGGAGGCGTAGTCGCTGTGGAGAGAGCTCTGGTCAGAGGCTGGTTCGAAGGGCCCCCCCGCAGGCTCCCCAGGGCACTCCTCCCCCCTCTGGTGGCTCACATCTTGTCGGGGTAGAATCGGTGCAGGATGGCGCAGAAAGCCAAGCCGTTGCGCCAGGATGTAGTAAAGTTGGTGACGCGGACGCCCTTGTAGCCAGCGGTGACTTCCTGGCACCACTCCAGCAGCGACTGGCTGGAGCTGACCGGGGCGGGTGGTGCCTGGGGACACAGGGATGGGCTCAGGGGACGGGAACAGGCGCCCTCTGCCCTTGGGCACAAAACAGCCCCAGCTCTGGGTTTGTAGGCGTCACCAGAGACCACCAGCCAGAGCTTTGGAGCCAGGCAAGAGTTTCCAGCTCTGGGGTCATCTGCCAAAGTCATCTACACGATCTTACCCCCAGGCAAGGTCAGGCAAGATCAGAGGTCACAGCAGCCACACCTCAAGGTCAGCCCAGAAAAATCAGCTTAAGGATGTCCCACTCCATGCAGCCCAGGAAAGACGGGGTGGGGGGGCCAGGGTGTCCCGGAGAGGAAGGGGTGAGGGGGCTCCTCGGAGCTGAGCCCGGCCACCCCACCCCGTCGGCCAGGTGGGTCCATGCAGAGCCGCCGTCAGCTCAGCCCCAGGTTAGTGGGAAGCAGAAGACTGGGCCTCGGCAGCCCCCATCCCTACCTGGCTGCCGGGCAGCCTCCCGTCCTCTTCGGGCTCCTCTGGGGAAGAGGCCCCCGAGGGCCTGGGCACCCCAGCCCCTGCCCCACTGGCCACCTGCGTCTCAGTCAGGCTGGCCTCAGCTTCTCTCCCCTTCTCGGTTCCCAAGACCCCAGCCTCTGCTTCCTGGGCCTCAAAAATACCAGGTTGATTCTCTGGGGGAACTAAGACTTCTGTCTCTGCGTCACAGGCTCCCCACACCCCAGGCTTGGCCTCTGCAATCCCCAAGACCCCAGCCTCCAACTCCTGGACCCTCAAAACCGCAGGCTCTGCCTCTGGTCCCCGGGACCCTAACGCTCCTTGCTCAGTCCCTGGGGCCGTTACCGCCTCCTCATACATGAGGCCGGTCTCTGCCTCCAGGACCCCAGAGACCGAGTCCTCAGCCTCCAAAACGGTGCTTCCTGTCTGTGGAGTCCCCAGTCCCTCAGCCTCTGACATTCCAACCTCTGGCCCTGAGACCCCTGCATCCCCCACCTCTGTCTCCTGGGCCCCTGCTGTGTCAGTCCCCGCCCCTGGGACCTCTGAACCCCCAGCTGCTACCTCCTGGGTCCCCGATATCTCAGCTTCTGTCTCAGTCACCATCCCCGGGACCCCTGAACCCTCTACCTCTGTTTCTATCTCGGGGACCCTTGAGCCCTCAGCTGTTTTCTCCGGGGTCCCCAGTATCTCTGCCTTTGTTGTCTCAGTCTCAAACCCTGGACCCTCAGAACCTCCTACTTCTGTTTCCTGGGTCCCTGATACCTCGGATTTTATTGCTGAGACCCCTGACCCTCCCACCTCTGTCTCCTTGGCCCCCTGTATTGCAGGCTCTGCGATCTCCGCTTCTATTCTCAGTACCTCTGAGCCCCCGGTTATCGCCTGGGCCCCCGGAATCTCAGTCCCTGCCATCCCAGTCTCTGTTCTCAGAACTCCTGAAGCCCCAGCCTCTGTTCTCTGGGTCTCCAGTTCCTCAGACTCTGCCATCCCAGCGGCTTCCGACTCAAGGACCCCTGAGCTCGCAGCCTCTGTCTCCTGGGCCTCCGACACCTCAGCTTCTGCCGTCCCGCTCTCTGTCTTTGGGAACCCTGACCCCTCTGCTCCTGTCTCCTGGGTCCCCAGAACCTCTGATTCTGTCCTCCCCATCTCTGTCCCCAGGATGCTCAAGACCCCAGTTTCTGCCTCCCAGACCCCCAGATCCCTAGACCCTGCCCCCTGGTCAGCTGTGGGGGGGGCTTCCTGGGACCTGCTCACCTGGGGGCTGGTGCTTGCTGCTCCAACAGAGGGGCCCTGCTCCAGGCCTGTCCCCCCAACACCAGGGGCCCCGCCCCTCACCTCTGCACCCTCTCTCTCCTGGCCTGCAGGTTCTTCCGGGGGTGAGTGAGAAGCCTCAGGCGTTCCCAGCACCCTTGCCTCAGACATCGCCCCTGGAGCCTCTGGTCCCTCAGTGTCCACCTGTCTCATATCTGACCTCTGCTCAGCATCCACTTGACTAACTTCTGAACTCTCTTCAGCCTCCCCCGTTCTGACCTCTGACCTCTTAGTGTTCACCCCTCTGGGTCCTGACCCCTGCTCACTGTCCACCACACTGGCCTCTGGCCTGTCCCCAACGGTGCCTTCCTCAACCTTGACTGTCTGCTCTCCCAAAGAGTTCCTGCGGCCTCCGTCCTCCATGCCTGTGCGTGGCCTGGCGCCCTGGGCCTCTGTCCCTTCCTGAGGGCTTGCCCGGGCCTGGGTCTCCCCAGCAGAACCCACTCCTGTGGGGGGAGCCCCTGAGGCTCTGGGGGCCTCATCTTTCCCTTGGGGGACTGAGGGCCAGGGGGCATCAGAGCCTTTCCGGAGCCGAGGGGCCGGGATGGGGGCCAGATCCTGGTCTGAGTGTCTTGAGGACCTGAGGAGAGAGCAGGAGGGGGTGTTGGAGGAGTCTTTTGGTCCCCCCGCCCCTGCTCTCAGCCCCGCCCCCTCCCCTCTGATTGCCGGGCTGCTGGAGAGGCAGGTTGGTAGAGGTTGTGCAGCGTCCTGACTGGTCAGGGCACGGGGGTGGGGCTGGTTCCAAAGCTCACCTTGTCTCCAGCGGGGTTCCGGGGGGCCTTGGGGCTTCAGGCCCCACCTGGCCCCCGACTACGGTAGCTGGTTCTGACCCCTGGCCCCGGGAGGCCCTGGCAGGGGGCACAGGGACACTCACAGGGGCTGGGCTGGCATCCTTAGTACCCGGAGGGCTGGCGCCTGGGGAAGGAGGAAGGAGAGGGTGCTGAGGCCTGGACCCGTGACCGGAGGCCCAGTCCCCATCCAGCCCCAGTCTGGGCCTCACCTGCCTGCCAGGGCTGTGCTCGGCCCTCCTCCTCCTCACACAGTGTCTTCAGCTCTCGAGGGGGATCTGGGGGAAGGTTTGGAGGGGCAGGTTCAGCTCAAGGCAGAGCCTCGAAGGTCTGACCCCCTCCCTCCAACTGGAGGCTGGGCCTACCTGGGAGCCGCCCCGGCCTCAGGGCGCCGCCCTGGCCTGTGAGAAGAGACAGGCCCGAGAATGCAGAGAAGAGAGAGAACAGGAGGACAGACAGAAAAAAAGCCTCAATAAGCTAAAGGGAGGGATGCGGAAGCTGTGACGGGCAGAAGCGTGGGTGGTGAGAGTGGTGAGGGTGCCCTCTCTGCACCTTGGGCACAGTTATAGGACAAGGACAAGGTGGGAGAGGCACCCAGGCAGGTGGAGAGGACCAGGGTGGTCTCCATCCTGCAGGTCAGCCACGGCCCCAGACCCCACAGGAGCGGGGGCCCAGTCTGGACAACCAGGGTGGCAGGGCAGAGCGGCCTGGGCAATTGTACGCTCCGTCACTTGGCGTGCACCAGCTGCTCCTGCCCCACAGGGCAAGTGGCTCCTATGCCCCACCCTCCCTCCGGCTTGGTGGTCAGGCCACGGCCACGACTGTGAGCCCACCTGGCGGGGGGACGGGAGCCCGCGCCTCGGGCACCCCTGGACCGTTAGCCTCCTCCTCGTCGCTCTCAGCAAAGTCGTCCAAGTTGCCCACGTCAGTTGGCTTCACGCTCATAAGGCTCGCCAGACTCTGCATGTCATCGTCCCTGGGGGTCAGAGGTCAGGCGTGAGGGCTGGGGTCAGAGGTGGAAGACGAGGGCCGGGGAGGGCGGGCGGGCACTCACGTGGCACGGCCCTCTCGCAGCAGCACCCCCGACAGGGTGAGGCTCAGCTCCGCATGCACCACCTTCACCGACTTGGCCTTCAGCCGCAGCCGCAGCGGGACCTGGGCGGGCACGGGCCCCGCGTGGCGGGCCAGGTCCACCTCGGCCGAGGCCAGCACCTTCCGCTGCCCCTTGGACTCCTGTGGGCCGGGGAGGAGGGGGCGGAGGAATGAGTACAGTGCTGCCCCCGAGCCCCAAGCCCCCAGCTCCAGGCCACCACAGCACTCACATTTTCAATAACAAACGTCCACTCCTTGGCCTCATACTGGTCCACGTGGGGGTCCTGGGAAAAGGGGGGCACCGGTGAGCGCAGGGGCTGCTGGGTAGGGGCAGGGCCGGGAGCAGAGCCTGTGCCGGCTCAGGGGTGTGTGGTCGGGGCCTTCCCACTTGCTGGTCCATCCTGCCTGGGCTGCCCCAGCTCCTCCTGGTCCCAGCTCTGTCCTGCGCCGGTGGCAGGTCATGTGACGCCTCCAAGGAGACCCCCTGGCCACACCCGCTGAACAGGCAGCCCTATTCTTGGTCTCACCAGTCTTTCCTTTTTGGATGGACAGCCCGGCAGGGGACCCCTGTGGCCGAGGCTGTGAGGCCAGCCCAGGCCCCTCCACGTGGAGGCAGACTCACCCTGTACAGGGTCACGGAGATGTCCACATTCTCGGGCACCATCCACACCACGGTGCCCCGGTACGGGTTCTGGATGCCCGGCTGCCAGCTGTGGGCCTGCAACGAGCAGTCTGAGTCCTCCCCCAGCCGTAATCCTCCCCTCCCCCTTTGCCCTTCCCTTCAACCTTGACGGCATCTTTCTCTCCATTCTGTGGATTCTGATCCGAACCGGAGCCCAAGACCCCATCAGCCCTCACCCACGATACCCACACCCCCCCGGGCCCACCCCTAGCCTGCTCACATCTCCCCACCTTGGAGCAGATGCGCCGGTTCCGCCGGGTCCATACCACCACCAACTTATCCGGCTGCCTGGGAGGGGGGAGGGAAAAAGGGGGGACGCTCAGTCAGGCTGCCCAGCTCCTCCATCTTCTCCAGGGTCCCCCCTCTGCCCACACTGCCCTCCCCCAGGAGAGGGCATGGACAGCCCCTTATCTGAAGCCACAGGAGCAGGGCGGGGCTGCTGAGCAGGGCAGGGCCCAGGGCAGAAGGGCGAAGGCCCGATGTGGTCAGGGGGGTTATGAAGGGGGAAGGGACCGCACAGACGGACCCACAGAGAAACTCAGGAGGACCCGCCAGAGGCCCAGCCAGGCTCAGCGAAGCCCTTCACTCACACCGTTTGTGAAGCGCCTCTCGGGCAGAGCAGAGGCAGGACCCTCTGGGCTCAGTAACAAAGGTGGGGGAGTGCTAACCAAGAAGAAAAAGACCTCACGCCGACCTCAGAGGCGGGAGAGAGCCGCGCAAGCATGTGGTGCCTGCACGGGGTCTCCTTGAGATCGGATGTGGGCGTAGAGCACGAGTGGGGGAGGGACGGGCAGTGTGAGGGCTCCGGGGTCGATTGGCAAGTGCAAGGTCCAAGTTTGGGGGGGAGGCCCTGAGTCAGAGGGGGCAGGGGTGAGAGGTGGCTAGAGGGTCAGAGGCCCCCCCTTGTTTTTAGACACCCTCCCAGGGCCTTCTGTGCCCAGTCCAGGGAGCCGGCCCGGGAATCAGCGTGCGTCCCACCTCTCACACCCAGAGCCCCGCCCCCAGCTTTGCAGGGTGATGACCCTGTGAGGGGCCTCCGGGAAGGCCTCCAGGCTCTATCGAAGCTGAGCAGATGTGCAGGGCAGACTCAGAGGGCAGGCAGAGGTGTGAGGAGGCAGACAAACCCAGAGGAGAGTCCCCTGAGCAGGGCCCCCTGAGCAGAGTCTCCTGAGCAGGGCCCCCTGTGCAGGGCCCGGTCCCTGAAGGGAGCTCACACCTGGCTGGGCCTTGGAGGAAGGGGCCCCTTTGGGTGAGAGGATGGGGACGGCCGAGGGCAGCAAGAGCCTCCTTGCCTGTGCCCAGTCCCCTACCACGGCACTGAGTTCACCCAGTGCACTGCCCCTTGGCTCTGGAGTCAGAGCCAAGATGAATGGCTCCTGGTCAGACCCTGAGGATCTGAGGCCTGGAGAGGCTGTGTGTGTGTGGGGGGGGGGGACCGGGAAAGGTCACACAGCTGACCCTGAGGCCTCTGGCCTGGAGCCAAGCTCCTTCCCCAACCCCAAACAGCAGTGATGGCCCAGCAGGGGTACCCATGGGGCCTTCCCAGAAAGGGGAAGTGGACAGGGGTGCCCAGGGAGGGCGGGGCCTGGCCGGCAGTCTGACTCAGCTGGGCACACCCTCCCGGGAGCTTGGACCTGGGCAGGGGCAGCCAGGGGCACCTGGCTCAGAAGCCGGAGGCCTGACTGCCTGCTGTGACTCACGCGCGGTGACATTGCCCACACCTTTGGCCTGCTCTCCGGGACCATGTCTGCTGTCCCGGGGGGCAGAGCCAGAGGCCAGAGTCCCCTCCCCTGCCAGCCCGGCTGCCCGGCCTCGCTCAACGGGCCGGCCCGGCAAGACCAGGGATATGGCAGCGCCCTAAGGGACCCCAAGGTCCCTTCCTACCCCCGCAGCCCTTCCTGTCGGGAGCCTAAATTTAGCCTGGCGGGTAAGATCCCTCAGCTGTGCCCTAATCCAGCCAAGGCAAGCTGACACCGTGAGCACATATATTTAGGGTGTGACGCAGGGCCTCGCAGCTGTGGAGAACGAGACACCCCCGGTCCTCTGGCCGCCCGGGCAGGGTCCCGGCCCCCCACGTCTCCCCCACCCCACTCCCCTGCCTCCCCAGGCCTTCTCTTCCCGGACCCACAACCTCCGAGGCCCCTTTAAGCCACTCCCGCCTCCCTCCTCATCCCTCCAGCGCTCAGTTTCCCCTTTTAAGGACATGGTGGAGATGAATCCAGCCTCCCGGAGCCCAGGCTGGCTGGGGGGGGGGGGGTTCTGGCTCAACAAGTGGCAGGGGGGAGGGGCCGCATCCTTGTTCTGCGCTGGACTGAGGCCCCTGGAGGCTTCGTCCCAGCCTGGCGCCGCACTCCGCGGAGCTGGCCACCCTGAGCCATCCTCTGGCCAAAACAGGCCTCCCTCCCCCCAGCCCGGCGCAGCTGAGGGAAGTGCGGGCACAGACAGCCTCAGCGGAAGTCCTGACTCCACTCCCTCAGAGCTCCCCCCACCCCAGCTCTGGGGGTCCCACAAGCTGCCAGGGCCTTCTGGTGTCTGTGCCCGGACAGCAGGGGCCAGCCGGGGCGGGGGGTCCCGCAGCCGGCCCGGTGCACTCACCATTTCTTGGTGCACTCCACCACCAGCTCGTGGTAGCAGGCCACGAAGTGGAACTTGGCGGCCCGCTTGCCCACGCGCTGCAGGCGCTTCCACACCGAGGTCATGGCCCCGCCGGCGCGCTCAGAGCCCGGGCTCCCGCTGGCCCGCCGCCGCCGGCCCCGCCCAGGCCCCCATGGCTCCGGGGCTCCGGCGCGCTGCCCGCCCCGTCGGGGCGGAGGTCTGAGGCTCGGACCCGGGCCGCCTGCGCCGGCGGGTCCGGCTGGGACGCGGGGCCGGGGCGTCGGTGCCGGAGCGCGGAGCGGAGCGCGCCGTTTCCTGCAGCCGCACCCCCGTCGGAAGGCGGGCGGGGCTCGGCGGGCGCGGGGCGGGGCGGCCGGGCTTCCGGGGCCTTTCCCCGCCGGGGGGGGGGGGGGGGGGGCGGGACTCCGCGCTGCTCGCTGCGCCCCGAGGCGGCGGGGACGCGCTGGCGGGGAGAGGGCACCCCGGGGCCGCCCTCCTCCTGCCCACAGCCCCGCGGGGTGCGCACCGGCAGCCCATTCCCCAGGCGGGGAAACTGAGGCCCAGGAAAGGGGAGACTGCTCAGGGCCACAGCGCGAGTCTGGACCGGAGCCAGGCGTGCCCATCACTCATCGCCGGGCCCCGGAGGAGGAGTCAGGCAGGCACCGGGCTGGCGGCTCTGCCGCGGGCAGCATCCGTGTGCCGGGCAGAGCCGGACTCCTCAGCCGTCAGCGGAGCTGGAGACTCAAACCCCGTCCTCCAGGAGTGCGGGCCCTGAGCACGCTCTCCCGCCGAGCCCAGCTCCGCCTGTCAAACAGGAGGAATGACTGCCCGCCTTCCCCAGGGATGGAGCCGGTGAAACGTGGAGATGTGTCGCTGGAGACCTTACGCTGGAGGTCTGGTTAGGTGGAATCCGTTATCTCTAACGGGATGTGTGTTTACTCTCCTCCCCTCGAAAGTCGCCTGTTCACACCTAGATTAGAGCCGCAGCCTACCCGTCTGCCCAGTATGGTAATGAGCCGCGGATGTCTAGCCCAGTTAGGGAACTGGCCCCGGGCAGCACAGCGGCCTGTTCCCACCCGGCGGCCAGAGAACCTGGTGCCTGATAAACACCCGGGTCCACAGAATGCCTCCTCCTCCGGAGAACCAGCTCACTGTCTCCAGGCGGCAAGAACCCCAGAGCCTATGTGTCCACTTTGAGGGCCTGTTCTCTCTTCTTGGTCTCATAAGTTGTGGGGTGGTGCCCAGCCGGCATGCTCAGTGGTTGTGCGTGACCTATGAACCAGGTCATGGTTTGATTCCTGGTCGGGGCACATGCCTGAGCTGTGGGCTCGATCCACAATGAGGTGGCAGCCAACCAATGATTCTCTCTCATCACTGATGTTTCTCTCTCCCCCTCTCCCAAATCAATTATATATATGTGTGTGTGTGTGTGTGTGTGTGTGTGTCTGTATGAAGTTGTGGGGTGTTTGTGTGCATGAGGGAATGAGTACCACCGTTCCCCCCGTCCCCAAGTGTGCAGGCTCCTCTGGCGGGTTTGGCTCCATCCCAGCAGAGTAGGCCTCCATTTCCTCTGTCTTTTAACTTAAACCCTCAAGGTCCCAAGTGCTGAGGGGCGGGGCCAGGCGGTCTGTGTGAGACTGAGGAATGGGGGTGTCTGGGACCTTGTCTTATGCACCAAAGCCTGGAGAACAGACCGCCATCGCTCCTTCAGGCCTGTTTGGCTTCTGGGAGGCTGGGATGGCGACTTCACCCCCTTCTACTTCTGCAGCGCTTTCCTCCCACCCACAGCGCACTCCCAAGCTCCCAGGCCCTTCCCAGAAGCGCCTTCCCCTCTCCCTCCGTGGGGCCCCTTGGCCTGCGCGCTCCGGCCCACCCATTTCCTGTGCTGCCCCAGCTCCGCCCCCACTCCACTGGGGCGGAAAATTTCTCTCCTGAAGATGGGCGGCTCCTTCTCCTTCCCTCCGGGCCGGCCAGGAAGGCCCAGTGAGTGGGGAAGGAGGCTGGGCTCCCAGGCCTCCGGCCAGAGAGGGGAAGTGACTCGCCCGCAGACACCACCGCGGGACAGGCCGGGCCAACTCGGAAAGCTCCCCATCACCTGGGGGAGGATTCACACCCTGCAGCCGCCAAGACGTTCCCCACCCAGGGTCCTGGCGCCACCTGCCGGCGGAGCTCGGGACCGCACTGGCCAGAAACCGCTATCTTCCCGCCCCAGAACCAAGCAGTCAGAGCACCAGGAACGCTGAGAGTATTTATTCATCTATGGCCCCTAAACGTAAATGCCCTGCAGAGTCTCGGCCCTCCAGGCCGTGGGCGGGTGCAGGATTGGGTCCTGGAGCCCTTGTGGAGGGCAGTGGAACCCAGGGACAGAGGTGGCATGCCCCTGAGCCAGCAGCTGCCAACAGCAGCAGCAGGGGAAAGGGAGATGGGAGCCAGATACTCATCCCAATCCCAGAGACACCAAGGGAGAGCAAGATGCTTTGGGCCCGCTGACAGACGGAGCTGGCTAAGCTGAGGTGCATACATGTGGAGAAGTGGAGGCCAGTGCCATGGGCAGAGGCTGTAGCCCAGGTGCCTGCCCCAGGGCCAGCCAACCCGAGATAGAGATAGAGGCAGCTGTGCCCTCCTGTGGAGTGAGGTGGCATGGGGGAAAGCAGGCACTAAAGTCTGAGTACTTGTTGGGGGGAAGTTTCTGAGCCTTTTGCATGGTACATGCCTCCCCCCTCCCCCAGCTCTTCAGAGGTTGATGTGGAAGGCATCTTGCAGCCACTGGTCACGGGCATTGTGCGTCTGGGGCACGGTGAGGGGAGGCGGGTCTGGGGGCAGGCTGGCGTCAGGAGGTTCGTCGTCATCAGACAGGCCAGCATCAGGTGGGTAGGAGCTGTCTGAGTGCAGGGAGGAGGACAGGTCCTGGCACAGGCTCAAGTCTTGGCACAGGTGCTTGTAGTCCTGGATAGACTCGTACAGGCCCCACAGCTGGCACAGCAGGGACATGTCCAACTGCCGCAGCCCCACCTGCAAAACACTGAGGGTGGGCTGGGGTTGGGGTCCAGGCCGCCCTCAGCCCTAGCCGTCTCCCCACACTGAGTGAAAATGTCTGTGGACACAGACACCACCTGCGAGCTGTGACTCTCTAGCAAGTCACGAACCCACATCTGTAAGGACGGAATGAAATCCGAGGGAAGCGTTTAAAGACACGTGGAACTACTGCCATAAGGGTAACTGATTACCGTTACCCTATCCCTCCGTCCCGGCCGGCCCGAGACCCGGGCCAGCTGGTTCCGCGCTCCGCACCCCACCCGCCCCACCCACCCCGGACTCCCCTATCCCGCAGCAGCACCCGCCCCTCTCCCACCCGAACCCCGGCCCGGCCGCGCTCACCATCTCTTTGCGCAGCGCCGCCAGAGCCGAGTCCAGGTTGACGGGGCGCCGCGGGCCGGGGGGGCCGGCGGCGGGGCCGGCGTTGGCAGCGCCCGGGGCGCCGCGGGGCCCGTCCGGGACGCGGGCCGCGCGGCTCAGCTCGTCGTGGATGCGGCTGCGCTGGCTGTAGACGCGCTCCAGCTCCCGCCACGAGCCGCCGCTGGCGTTCAGGAGTCCGCTGAGGCCGCGCGGCAGCGGCGGGAGCCCGGCCAGCGCGCAGCCCGCGCCGCCCGGCGCCTCGGCCGACGGCAGCCCGTTCATGGCCGGGCCGGCGCGTTCCGCTCCGCCGCCCGCCGCCCGCCGCCCTCGGGCCCGCACCCCGGGCCGCACCGGCCGAGCCCAGCGCCCGCAGGCCGCGCTTTGTTCCTTCCCGGAGGCCTCCGGCCCCGCCCCCTGCGCGTGGGCGGAGCCTCTCTTAAAGGGGCGGCGGCGGCGGGCCCAGCTCCCCTCCCCTGTGCAGGGGAAAGCGGAGTGAAGGGATGGGTGACAGAGGGAGGCAGAAAGTGGGGAGGGAGGAGACCAAAAGCGGCGGCCACGGTTTACTCAGTCCTTTATGTTCCCCCAACACTGTTTTATTGTCCTGCCCAATTATAACTCCCAAGGAAAGGGATCTAAAGGGGGGTCAGGAGGCCGGGGTAAATCCATCCCTGGTCCCTAGCGTGCAGCCCGGGGCCTGTGAGTGTCTGAGTGCCCGGCTGGGCAGGAAAGAAGCTACCAAGCGGACAGGAATCCCTGTCTCACTGAAGGGGAAGGAGCACGGGGTGGCTCAGATGGCTAGGGGTGCTGCAGAGGCCCAGCCCTCCTGTTCCTGACTTCGAGGAGGCAACTATCCCAGAGTCCTCTCCCTCCGTGTCAAACCCCCCCCCCCTCCGAGTGGGGAAACTGAACAGAAACAAGCCCAACTCACGTCTCGGGACAACAAGGAGAGGAGGTAGTGGGAGGGAGAGGCCAAAAGCAGGAGCAAGGTGAGAGCCGCTGGGGCTGGCATGCACTCAGGACCACGGGAAGAACAAACCACACAAGAGGAACAGCTGTTTTTCTAGCGGGTTTTTCTCAAGCGGGTCTCTCAGTGTTGCAGCTGCTGCAGGCTTTGCAGGGCTTCGGCACAAGCCCGGATGAGGCCACACAGCTGGATGCTGGCCTCCAGGGAGGCGCTAGAGCCCAATTCGGCTGAGGCCCAGGCCAGCTTCTGCAGGAGGGCCTCCCGGGTGCTGGCCATGACGTCTGCATTTGGGGGCCCAGCAGGAGGGGCCGGCCCCTGGGCTGCCTTGAGCCCAGCCGCGGCTCCCTCACAGTGCTCTGGGCGGGGCACTGGGGGCTGAGGGGCGGGCCGAGTGCCTGAGGGGAGGTCCGGGGCAGAGGCGAGCTGGTGCTCCCGAGCTTGGGAGAGGGCAGCCTGGGCATTCAGAGCTAAAAGAGGAGAAACCGAGTAGAATGGTCAGGATGCCCCGCCCACCTCGGCCCTGAGCCACCTCCTACCTCTCTACTGCTCTGCTCTTGCCGTGCTTCAGATGTGTTCCCTGCCGCGGGATAGGGCAACTCATTCGTTTGCTTTTTCTATTCTATTTACGCATGTCCTGGAGTCATCTGTCTCGTCAGGACTATCGCTCCTGGAGCTGGGACCCTCCCTTGTGCCTGGCCCACAGCAATGCTCATCGCTCCTACCGAATGGATGCTCCTTACGGAGCTAAGGGAAAGCGCCTCACCTCCGTCCCACCCACGGCCGCCACTGTCCCCTCCCAGCACTGCGGCCCCCAGGGTTCTATCACCACGCTTCTCCACCCGGCACGCGCAGCCCCTCACCCGGATTGTCCTTATCCACGTCTGAGTCGAGCTCCTGACAAGCCACGCAGTAGATCTGCCGCTGTTTGTTTTGGAGGAGGATGGTCTATGGGTCAGAAAGCACAGGGGCGGGGGTGAGACGCCAGGCAATAAGGGCCGGAGAGGCGAGGCTGGGGAAGGGCCGTGCGGCCTGGTCTGCGCCCCATCCCTGCTCTCGCACTCCGAGTCCGTCCTCACCCCACAGTCCGCGCACGTGTCGCCCAGCATGCGGTAGCCACGCAGCAGGTAATCGCCCATGAGCGAGGAGATGCGGTTCTGCCGCTCCCGCCGAGCTTGCAGCACCTTCGTCTCCGCTTCGGTCGGAGGTTCCCAGGAGAAATCGTCGACTTCTGGGGAAAGAAAGGCACAAGGGGCCTGGTGCTCTCGCCGGAGCAGGTGGCCCCCGGACCCCGCGGCCGCGGACCCCGCGGCTCAAGCCCTCACCTGTACCGTTCAGGGCCATGTTGCCGTTGTCGCCGCTCGGCTCAATGGAAGTGACGCACCGGCAGAGCGCCGGTCCCCGGCTCCGCCCCCTCCGTGTGGGCGGGGGACGAGGGCGGAAATGACGCCCAGAGGCTTCCCGGAAGTCCCGACGCCCCGAGTGAGGCGCGTCTGCTGTAGCCCACCCGGCGCCGTTTCCCCCACGGGAACCCAGGAGGCGGGACTTCCCCGCGGTGACTCCGCTCCGCCGCGGCGCACGGGAGTGACTGCGCAGGCGCCGTCCTGCGCGCCGGCTCCGCCCCCGGGGTTTCCCTTCCCGCACTGGCGGGACCCTGGACGGGCGCGGCCGTGTCGTCACCGCTACGACACCCTCGCTTCTATCAAACGGGCCCTCACCGCGTGTCGTCACCGCTACGACACCCTCACTTCTAGCAAACGGGCCCTCGCCCGCGCGTGGAGCCTTTTCAGGCCTCAGTACTTATCCCTTCAGCCTGCAAGGCGGGCCAGCAGGCACCAGTCCCACTTTCCATTCCGTTCAGCCTGTTTGCATGTTTGGTGCCTCCGTCTCTCCAGCCCCTACCCACCCTAAGGCCCGGGACTGATAGCAGAGTCAGCTCCTAACTTTTTTTTTAAGTTAAGCCCTCAAAAAGTCTGGTGCGTAAAACACTGCACTGGGCATGCGCAGTTCGGGAGCGGCCACAGCTGCGGAATGCTTGCTGGCGAGTGAGGGTGCAGGGCTTGTTTCACGTGTGGGTAACCATTATGCCTTTCTTGGGTCGGTTGCTATTAAAATTACTCGTGCTCCCTAACATTGGTCTTGGTGACTGTTTTCTATTTTCTCTGTCCTTTTCCATACACGTCCTCTCCCTTTTTATCGGTAGGTTTGGCGAAGCCAAGTGGGACAGGCAGATGCGCAGGCCATCCCATAATCTCATCTGCAGCCTCCTCCTTTGGTTGGACAGCACAAGCTTCTGCAGTAAACCTGAAGACTGAGTGCCCTCCCAGCCCCATCTTCTTTAAAAAAAAAAATAAAAAAAAAAATAAAATATATATATATATATATATATATATATATATATATTTAAGTTTTTACAGAGAGGAAGGGAGATGTGCCCCACTGGGGATGTGCCCACAACCAAGGTACATGCCCTTGACTGGAATTGAACCTGGGACCCTTCAATCTGTAGGCCAGTGCTCTATCCACTGAGCCAAACCAGTTAGGGCCCCATCTTCTTATACAAACGTTGGAGCTGCCATTTTGCCCTAGCCAGTTGCTCAGTGGTTAGAGCATTGACTTGTGTGCCGAAGGGTCCCTGGTTCATTCCTGTCAAGAGCACGTACCCTGATTGCAGACTCCATCCTGGCCCTCACACCCTGCATTCAGGAGGCAAACAACTGATGTGTTTCTCTCATACTGATGTTTCTCTTTCTCTGTCTCCCTTCCTTCCACTTCCTCTAAGAATCAATGGAAAAATATCCTCAGGTGAGGATGAACAAAAATAAGAAAACGGGACTGCTATTTTCTGATCCTTGCTGCCTCTTGCTTGGAGAGCCTGAGCGCTCTTCGCTCTCGCCCTCTCCTGGCAGCGTCCCTGACTCAGGACTCGGCCTCACGTCAGTCCTGCCAAGCTGACGCGAGGGATTCTTGGATTCTAACCTGTATGCGTAGACCTTCCAGGTCCTCGCTGTCTTCGGCTCCCAGCCCCACCCTGAATTCTTCAGTGCACCTTCTGTGTCATCGTCATGGCCAATATCCACTCCACAGCCTGTCTGCCTGGCACCAACAGAGACCCTTACACTCATCCTCCCACTTAGTCCCTTTCATTTCCTCAGGACAACCTTAGGGGGGGCGGTACGACAGTGAGCCCCATTTTACAGAGCAGGAAACTGAGTAATTCTATTTAAATAGAAATCAAGCCGAAACCGGTTTGGCTCAGTGGTAGAGCGTCAGTCTGTGGACTGAAAGGTCCCAGGTTCGATTCCAGTCAAGGCCATGTACATTGGTTGCGGGCACATCCCCAGTAGAGGGTGTGCAAGAGGCAGCTGGTCGATGTTTCTCTCTCATCGATGTTTCTAGCTCTCTATCCCTCTCTCCTCCTCTCTGTAAAAAATCAATAAAATATATTTTTTTAAGAAGAAAGAAAGAAATCAAATCATGTCACTATTTTGCTTAAAACCCTCTGGCATCTCCCCATCACATTTAGATGAAAACTCAAAGTCTTTACCGTGGTTTCCAAGGTCCTACAAAGCTACCCTCAGCCCTCTCAGCGCCTCCCACCCTCCCTGCATTTTTCCTCTCCCCTTTCTCCGCTCAGGGCCCCTCCCTGCCTCAGGTTCGCAGGAGGGTGGGCCAGGCACAGGCCTGGAAGCAGGCAAGCCCAGGTCTGATCCTGCGTCTCTGCTTCCTGGCTGCCCCCTGGAGTGGCTTACCTCACCTCTCCCGACTTCAATCACTCATCTGCCCAGCAGGCATCATACCTGTGAGCAAGGCAGTTCCAGCTGGAAGGCAGGCAGTGTGGCTGAGGCTACCAAGAGGTCCCCAAAGTGAAATAGATAATGTCAGTAATAGCCCGGCCGCCCAATAGAGTTTTCCGCTAACTGGGGAAACAAATCACAGCTGACCAAACCATCTAGGCCAGTGGTCGGCAAACTCGTTAGTCAACAGAGCCAAATATCAACAGCACAACAATTGAAATTTCTTTTTCAAATATATTTTATTGATTTTTTAGAGAGGAAGGGAGAGGGATAAAAGGGTCGGCAAACTGTGGCTCTTTGGCCCCTTGAGTGTGGCTCTTCCACAAAATACCACGTGCGGGCACCCACGCGCAGTGTGATTGAAATTTCATGACCCATGCGCAGAAGTCGGTTTTCGGCTCTCAAAAGAAATTTCAATCGTTGTGCTATTGATATTTGGCTCTGTTGACTGATGAGTTTGCCGACCATGGGTTAAGCAGTTTCTCCACGGCCACGCTGCTGGGATGTGGCCGGGCTGGGGCTCCACCCAGGCAGCACACTCTGCCACCTCATTCTCACCAGTGGCCTGGGCCTGCATTTGAAAAGCGGAGACGAGGGGCAGAGCTGGAATCCTCTCTGATGTATCAGGAGTGAAGACAGCCCTGCTGCGTGGCTCAGTGGTTGAGCGGCGACCTATGAACCAGGAGGTTGCAGGTTCGATCCCCAGCGTGGGGCGTGCAGGAGGCAGCCAGTCAATGAGTCTCTCTCATCATTGATGCTCTGTCTCTCTCTTCCTCTCCCTTCCACTCTGAAATCAATAGAAATATATATATATTTCTTTCTTTTTTTTTTTTTTTTTTTTAAAGAGTGAAGCTAGGTTCCTTTCATTTCCCAAGCCCATCGCTCAGCGCCTTCATCACAGTATCTGGCACATCAGATGGCCTCAGTGACAGCCACGCTCAGCAAAGTGTCAGGGGAGACACAGGCCTCAAGGGCAGCATGTCCCCTCCAGGCCTCTGACATCTCCAGCCTCACCTTTAGAACGGATGTGCAGTCCCCAGCTACCACCCCCAGTGCCTAGGAGCTTCCCCAAAACACTCAGAAAGCAGAGAAGAGGCACAGAGCCGAGCCATGGCCAGCTCCTTCAATGGCACCTCTCCTCCCGCAGCCGCCGTCCTGGCTCCCGGACCCGGATGCTGGTGAGGAGCATTTGCGTGCGGAGTGCTCATTGCGTGGCCGGCACCTGCTGAGGACTTCCTACATGTAAGCGCATTTGATTCTCCGCTTAGAAACCAGGAAATGGAAGCATAGAGAAGTTGAGAGACGTTCCCAATTCATATAGCGGGTACAGGACGCAGCCAGGAAAACTCAGTGCCAGAAACCAACCGCTGTGTGAGCCGCCTCCTGAAGCCCAGCTTCCCTCATGCAGGCGGCGGCTGCCTGTGCAGCCAATTCCCCCGCCCAGGCGTGAGGGCCTGGGTTGGAGTCCCGGCTCTCCAGGTGACCAACTGGATCACTTCAGCCAAGCCGCTAGCCTCTCCTGGGCTTCAAGAAGCCTCTGCATAAGGACCCTTCCCCACCGCTTAAGCAGTCCAGCCTGTCCCCGGGCCCTTTGTCCCATGCCAAAGCCCGTCACTGCCCTCGGGCCCACGCACCTATTTGAGGACGCCCTCGGGACGCCTCAGGAGCACTGTGCAGGTTTTGGGTCAGGAAGCCCTGAGCTCAGGCCCCACATCTTACCCCGCAGTGGCCGGAGTCCAATTGTTCCTCCCTGCAGAGCCGCGGTGCCCCCTGTGCGGCGCGGCTGGGGGGTGACACGCGGTCACCGTGTGAAGTGCGCAGTGAGTGCTGGTGCTCTTGTGGCCTCGCTCCATTCGCTCACAAACGTCAGCAGCCTCTGGGTGCGGCCTGAGCGGAGATCTGGAGTTCGTGCCATCGTGGGAGGTCAGTGAGGTAGACGGTGAGCAAACAGTCGAACTCATAACGTTTCAAGTTGTTTCCAGCAGGAAACCAACAGGTAACGTGACCCAGAGGGCCAGCATGGCTGTTTTAGAAAAAGACATACAGCCGAAACCGGTTTGGCTCAATGGATAGAGCGTTGGCTTGGGGACTGAAGGGTCCCGGGTTCGATTCCAGTCGGGGGCATGTGCCTTGGTTGCAGGCACATCCCCAGTAGGGGGTGTGCAAGAGGCAGCTGATCGATGACTCTCTCTCATCGATGTTTCTAACTCTCTATCTCTCTCCCTTCCTCTCTGTATAAAATCAATAAAATGTATTAAAAAAAGAAAGAAAGAAAGAAAGAAAGAAAGAAAGAAAGAAAGAAAGAAAGAAAGAAAGAAAGAAAGAAAGAAAGAAAGAAAGAAAGAGACATACAGGAATACCCCCGAGGGCAGCAACCCAACATCAAGCACTCAGCATCTTTTTTTTTTAATCCCCACCAAAGGATATTTTCCCATCGATTTTGAGAGAGAGTGGAAGAAAGAGGGAAAGACAGGGAGAAATATCGGTGTGAGAGAAACAGGATTGGTTCCCTCCTGCTGAAGCCCCGAACAGGGCCCGGCTGGGGAGGAGCCTACAACCGAGGTCCGTGCCCTTGACCGGAATGGAACCTGGGACTCCAGTCCACAGGCCAACACTCTACCCACGGAGCCACACTTTGTAGGTACAGGTGAGCAATGAGAAGCCATTGGAGGTTTGTTTGTGTTTTAATATATATATATATATATATATATATATATATATATATATATATATATATTTTTTTTTTTTTTTTTTTTTTACTGATTTCAGAGAGGAAGGGAGAGGGAGGGAGAGATAGGAACATCCATGATGAGAGAGAATCATTGATTGGCTGCCTCCTGCACTCCCTCCACTGGGGATCCAGCCCGCAACCCAGGCATGTGCTCTAACCAGGAACTGAACCATGGACCTCCTGGTTCATAGGTTGACGATCAACCACCGAGCCATGCCAGCCGGGCACTGGAGGTTTTTAAATCAGAGTAGTTGTATGGCTAGAATCAAGGCAACTCTGGCACCACGTGGAGGAGGGACCAACCGGAGCGGGTAGACGTGGTGGAGGGGAGACCTGAGGCAGCAGAAAGGATCTGGGTGGCCACAGAGGTCATGGTCTCCTTGCACCTAGAGGAGAATATACATCTCGGAGGCATGAAAACGTGCCAGGAGATTCTAGGAAGGTGGGGTGGCAGCACAGATGAGGACAGAAAAGGTGGCCGAGCCAAAGATAGCACGTGTGCATTCTCGCAGTCTGCCTGCAGACCCCCTGTGCATCCTGGTCTCCCTGCTCCGTGCACAGGCTGTGTGCTGGGTCCACCAGGCTCTCCGGGAGGCCCGGCTGGCCAGGAGCAGACCAGGTAATACCACTCCCTAGCTCCCTCCCTGCGGGCTGCAGGGCACAGACACTGCGGACCCTGCTCGGGTCTCTGCTGATCCCCAGTAGGGGGTGTGCAGGAGGCTCTCTCACCAGTTTCTATCTCTCTATCCCTCTCCCTTACTTTCTCTCTAAAATCAATAAAAACAGCCCTGGCTGGTTTGGTTCAGTGAACAGAGCGTCGGCCTGCGGACTGAAGGGTTCGATTCTGGTCAAGGGCATGTACCTTGGTTGTGGGCACATCCCCAGTAGGGGGTGTGCAGAAGGCAGCTGATCGGTGTTTCTAACTCTCTATCCCTCTCCCTTCCTCTCTGTAAAAAAAACACAATAAAATACATTTTAAAAATAAAACCAATAAAAGCATATTTTTAAAGTGTTCAGCCGTACGGTAAGCACTCAGTATTATTCCTGCCTCAGTGTGACCTGACCCCGGGGGCAGGTGGGGCTGCCCTCCCACCCTCTCCTGCCCTGGGGGCAAGGGAGAGCACCCGTCCCACCCTGAACCCCGGCCTCAGCAATTCGGGCCGGGACCCCAGGAGAGGTTCCTCTCAGTCCTCCCGAAACTGCCTACCCCACTGCGAACACCATGAGCTCCCCGGACAGGTGTGCCCAAGGGCCAACCCGCACTCAGACTGCCATCCCTGCTGCCCAACGAGAGAGGGCTTGCTGCCACCCTGCCTGGGTAGTGCCTTGCTCTGGAAATACCCTGGTCACACCCACCCCCTGCTGAGTTTTGTGAGTCAGAGCCTGAATCCTGGGGTGTCCTGGCCAGTCCTCCCTGCTTATGGCCTGGGCCCCAGGACACTGCAGCTCTCCAGGCCTCCCGTCCAGATGGTGGACAGGCCTGGCTCCTCTCCAGCCCTGACCGAACTGCAGGCCTTGCCCAGCCCCTGCCAACCCCTGCCCCGGGGCCCCTGGGCCCTCAAGCAGCACCCCCCTCCTCCCGGCTGTTAGCCTGGGAAGGGGGCCAGACCCTGAGCTCAGACCTTGGCGATTCCAGAGTGTCTGAGGCCCAGAGCCAGCCCCGCCAGCCCGGCCAGACATGCAGGAGGGGGAGGGGATGCAGGGTGGGCACAAGGAGCCATTTAAAGGGGGGCCGGGTACTCTCCCTCCAGGAGCACACCCAAACCTTCCCCTTTTCCCTGCCTGTCTTCATCCCCGTCTTCTTCCTCACTCCCTAGGACCCTATTAAAAAAGGAGGAGGGGGTGCTGAGGGGAAAGCTGGTTTCCAGCTTTGTTCTTCCTGCTCTTTTTCAGGGACCGTCACTGAGTCCCCAGCCAAAGGGGCCCCCAGCCCCTGGCCAGTACAGCGAGAAGTGGCGGGGTGACAGGACCCCCGCACGTGCAAGAGGGGCCGGGTGAGGCCTGGGTCCAGCCGCACCTGGACTCCCCTCCGCTCCGCCGGGCCGGGCCGAGGTCTGGGCCGCCCCCGCCGCCCGCCCCGCCCGGAGGAATCCGCGGCCCGGCCCGGCCCAGGTGAGGGCCTCTGGCCGGGGCCCAGCGGCGGTTCCGCGGGGCGGGCACGGGGCGGGGACCGCCCCCGGCCTCCTGCCCGCACTCCGGCTCCGGGCGGAGCGGCGCTTCGGCAGGAGAAAAGCGGCTCCCTGGCCGGGGGCCAGCGCCCCAGCCCCCGCCGCCGGCGGCGCAAACAACTGCTCCCGGCCCGCCGCCCGCCGCGACCCAGCCCGAGCGGCCGCCAAGCCTCCTCGCCGCCGCCGGCCCGCGGCCTCCGCGCCCTCCGTCCCGGCCTCCGCGGCCGCCGCCGGCAGGGGTGGAAGTCCGGGCTCCGGCGCCCCGCCGGCATCTCCGGCCCCGCCGCCCGCCGCCCCGCTCCCGGCGCCGCCTCCCGCCCGCTCCCGGCTCCGGGCCCCGCGCTCCGCGCTCCCGGCTCCGCGCTCCGGGCTCCGGGCTCCGGGCTCCGGGCTCCGGGCTCCGCGTTCCGGGCTCCGGGCTCCCGGCTCCGGGCTCCGCGCTCCGGGCTCCGGGCTCCGCGCTCCGCGCTCCGGGCCCCGCGCTCCGGGCTCCGGGCTCCGGGCTGCTGCCCGCCTCGGGGCCGGGACCGTCGCCCCGGTCCAGGCGCCGCCGGTCCTGCGGCCCCGATGCCCGGGCCCCGCGGGCCGGCGGGCGGGGAGATGCGCGGCGCGGGCGCGGGGGCGCTGCTGGCGCTGCTCCTGCTGCTGCCGCGGGGCCCGGGCGGCGGGGCGGCGGGGGGCCCGGCGGGCGAGCGGGGCGCCGGCGGGGGCGGGGCGCTGGCCCGCGAGCGCTTCAAGGTGGTCTTCGCGCCCGTGATCTGCAAGCGGACCTGCCTCAAGGGCCAGTGCCGCGACAGCTGCCAGCAGGGCTCCAACATGACGCTCATCGGCGAGAACGGCCACAGCACCGACACGCTCACCGGCTCCGGCTTCCGCGTGGGTGAGGCCGGGCGCGGGCAGGCCGCCGGGACCGCGCGGGACGTGGCAGAGGCCGTGGCCGCGGGGCGAGGGCGCGGGGGCAGCTCTGCGGGCCGCGGCCCAGGGGCCTGGGGGGGCCGGGCCGGAGGTGGGAGGCTGCGTGGCTGGGGGACTCCGCAGCGCTGGGCTGGGCTGAGGCCTGAGGAAGGGGTGTGTGTGGGTGTGTGTGGGGGGGGATGGGGAGGGAAAGGGTGTGGGGGGGACTCTGGGGTCCCAGACGGCACAGACTCCAGGAAGGCGCTGGATTCTGGGGAGTCAGGTCAGCTCACGGGGGCTCTGAGGGATGGGGGGTTGGGGGGGGGGCAGGAGGCCCCAGAGAAGGGTGAATACGTCCCCAAGAAGCAGACTTGCTAGAAGAAAGAGGAAAAGTCATTAAAATGCCTCAAGTCAGGCCGCCAGGGGTAGGCACCTGCATTCCCCGAGGGAGGAGCTAAGGTGGGGCTGGGCCGAGAGACTTAGTTACTGGGGGGCGGGGGGGGGGTTGTGCCCCAACAAGTGGCTGCAGGGCTGGAGGGGGGGCTGCTTTGGTCCTCAGCCTCCTTCCTGGTGTCCCGTGTGTGCCACTACGGAGAACACAAGCTCTCACCTCCCTGCCTCAGAGGCCCTGGGTCTCCCTGCCGGCCAGCCCTCATGCCCCCCAGTTCCACCTGCAGCCCATGTCCCCAGCATCTCTCCTCAAAGGCCAGGCCTGGGCTCAGCCCTCCTCCCCGGGCCTGCGGGCCAGGCGGGGGAGGTGTCCTGGCAGTAATTACCTCCTGGACGGGTAATTAGGCTGGGCCCGGGATGGCACTAGCAAAACAGCCCCTCTCACACACGCCTGCACTCAGAGCACTCGCTGATGGGGCTCCCAGTTCTCAGGAGGCGTGTGCATGTGTGTGCATGTGCGGACGGCGCCCTTGGGCCTTGGTGTGGCGCTGTGATTGAGTGCATACCTCTTGTGCTGTCTTCGTGTGCGTGTCTCCAGTCACCGTGGAGTTTTGATGTGAACCTGTGTTGGTGTCAGAACGCGTCTGTGAATGTGTAAGACAGGATGACTGTGCAGAGTGTATGTGGCCAGACCTCCCAGGCCCCCTGGCCATCCTGCCCAAGCTGCTGTCTCCGTCCTGCTGCCCACATCCCCCAGGCTCGGTGCCCAGGCCACAGTGGGCGGGTGTCACCGGGAGGTCACTCACCGCTATGGGTGACTCACTGGGAGGCAGGAAGGAGAGGATCCTGCCTCCCCCGGCCCCAGACACAGCCCTTCTGCCCTGAAGTCCTGGCCCCCAGAGACCAGGCAGGATGGGCTGGGCTGGATGCGCTGGGCCAGGCCCCGGTGCGTGGGTGATGGCTGACCCTCTGAGGTCCTCAGGTGCCAGGACAGCCGTACCTACCTTCCCATCCGGAGAGTGAGGGCATCATGGGGCAGGCAGAGAGGGGCTGGGTCCAGGGCGGGAGCTCAGGGCCCCAAGGCTGGAGGTCTGGCCGGGATGTGAGTGTGTGTGACAGAGAGACCGAGGTCCCACCCTCTTGCTCAGTCACTCCGTCCCTCCCCCCTGCACCTCGCCTGCAGCCCAGAGCTGAGGCAGACCGGGCCCTCGCTTCAGAGCACCTTTACTGTGTGGGAGACAGACGTGACTGTAATGGCCAGTCAAGTGCCAGGCAGAGCTGGGGCAGAGGGCGGTAACTCAGGAGAGGGACAGGGTGGCGGAGAATGACATGGACGGATGAGAGGGGAACGCAGAGAGGGGGACGGGCTCTGGAGTGGAGGGAGTAGCATGAATAAGTCCCCGGAGGCAGAGGATGTGGCTTCTCCCCAGTGGGAGTGAGTCTGCGGAATGGGGTGGGTACTCACGGAAAATGCAGAGGGGATGGGCCGATGGAGGGTTCGTTCTGGGTCATCTGAGCCTTGAATGTCCCAGGAGGAAGCCAGCCTCGAGCAGGGGTGTGACTGCCAGGACTTTGCTGAGGGGGGGGGGGGGGAGCGGGAGAGGGGTGCTGGGATGGGAACAGGCAGGAGAGGAGCAGGGCGCCAGGAGTCTGTGGCGAGGCTCGAAGCAAGGGAGAGGCGAGGGCGTGGGGAGGGGCGATGGACTCGTGGGCTGCGCAGAGGCCAGAATGGTGGGGGGTGGGAGCAGAGAGATGGGCCTCCGGGCTCGGCTCTGAGCGACCAGGCAGGCAGGGGGTCCTGGTGGTCTAAGGTCAGAAGGGGGGGCTGTCAGGATGATGATTTCTGACCGTGTCCCCTGGGGTGCAGGTGCCCGGGAGAGGTCCCAGGAACTGTAGCTACAGAGGTGGCCATTGCTGGCAGCGGTGAAGGGTGGCTCGGGGATGGCAAGCAGAGGGAGGGAGAGGGACAGGCAGAGAGAGAAACATCAATAGTAAGAATCATTGATTGGCTGCCTCCCGCATGCCCCCTACTGGGATTGAGCCCACATCCTGAGCATGTGCCCTTAAAGGAATCGAGCCCAGGACCCTTCAGTCCATAGGCTGATGCTCTATCCACTGAGCCAGACCAGCTAGGGCTCTGCTAAGCATTTGTACAGTTATAGCTAATTTAACAGACACACATGCCTACAGACGAGAACGCAGGCACAGGAAGAGGACGAAAGTTCTTGGGGCCGCACAGCGGGCACATGACTAGCATCTAAGTCTCAGACTTAGAGGCTCAGAGCCAGCATGGGGAGAGGATGTTGGGGAACCCAGAGAGCAGTGTCTGTGTCTGTGACGTGTTACCAAAACCGTGGATGTGGTTCCCAAGGAGCCAGTGGGTGGCAAGGAAGGAGGAGGGAGACAGGATGTGGGTGGGGGCCTGGGCCTGGGTGCTGGGGTGGGGCTGACTGAGCCCTGGCCCATCTCCCTCCCCAGTGGTGTGCCCTCTGCCCTGCATGAATGGTGGCCAGTGCTCCTCCCGAAACCAGTGCCTGTGCCCCCCGGACTTCACCGGTCGCTTCTGCCAGGTGCCCGCCGGAGGAGCTGGCGGAGGCGCGGGGGGCTCGGGCCCTGGCCTGGGCAGGGCCGGAGCCCTGTCCACAGGCGCGCTGCCGCCCCTGGCTCCAGAGAGCGAGACCGGGGCCAGCAAGCACGCCATCTACGCAGTCCAGGTGATCGCCGACCCGCCCGGGCCCGGGGAGGGGCCCCCAGCCCAGCATGCCGCCTTCCTGGTGCCCCTGGGGCCCGGCCAAATCTCTGCGGAAGGTACCGGGGCCAGGCTGACCCGTGGCCAGAGCGGGTGGGCACTGGGGTGGCGGGCCTGGCAGAGGCTAGCCCAGGAGGGCTCCTGGCTGCCCAGTGGGGTGCTGTGCTGGGCAGGCCTGAGGCCACCGTGCCGCCCCCAGTGCAGGCCCCGCCCCCCGTGGTGAACGTGCGTGTCCACCACCCGCCTGAGGCCTCCGTCCAAGTTCACCGCATCGAGGGGCTGAATGCCGAGGGCCCAGGCCCCTCCCAGCACCTGCTGCCGCACCCCAAGCCCCAGCACCCCCGGCCCCCCACCCAGAAGCCCCTGGGCCGCTGCTTCCAGGACACGCTGCCCAAGCAGCTCGTGAGTCTGCGGCCTCTCGGGCTGCCCTGGCCCAACCCAAGGGGATTGCTCAAAACTGGGGGGTCTGCGGGGTGAGGAGGGGGAGAAGAGCCTCAGGAGGGAGGGGGGGGCTAGGCGCCCCGTGACCCGGTCCATGACTCCCCCCAGTGTGGCAGCAATCCCCTCCCAGGCCTCACCAAGCAGGAGGACTGCTGCGGGAGCATCGGCACCGCCTGGGGCCAGAACAAGTGCCACAAGTGCCCGCAGCTGCAGTGTGAGTGCTGGGCTCAGGCCTGGGGCCCACACACACTCCTCCCCAGCCCTCCCTTCCCCCAAGCTTTTGTCACCCCCCCCAATTCCTCTGCCCTCCCCCCCTCCCAGCAGGCCCGCAGTGCCCTCCGGGCCACTCTCTCCTCTCTCTGCAGACACAGGGGTGCAGAAGCCAGGGCCTGTGCGTGGGGAGGTGGGCGCCGACTGCCCCCAGGGCTACAAGAGACTCAACAGCACCCACTGCCAGGGTAGGGCCGCCAGGAGCTTCTGTGGGCTGGAGGGCAGGCCCGTTGTCCTGGGGGAGGTCCCGAGGCGTTGGAGGGAGGAGGTGGGGCTGGGGCGGGACCTTGAGGTGCTTGGGAGCAGCTTCCTGTCACCCGATGGCCCCAGACCAGAGGGACCAAACTCCCACTCACCACAGACATCAATGAGTGTGCCATGCCGGGCATGTGTCGCCATGGTGACTGCCTCAACAACCCTGGCTCCTATCGCTGCGTCTGCCCGCTGGGCCATAGCCTGGGCCCCTCCCGCACACAGTGCATTGGTGAGACTGGGGGCTTGGGCTCCTGGGCGGTCACAAGGCATGGGCTCGAGGGGCGAGGCTATAAGCGGCAGGGTCAGAGGTCAGATGGAGAAACAAGGCACAGAGAAGTGGCTAAGAATCATCGGAGACCTGGGGTTAGAGGTCACATGGGGTCAGGGTCATATGAGACCGGGGACTGGATAAAGTCTGGAGCAGCTAGAATCGGGTGGTGGGTTCAGCAGTGGTCACAGAGGTTTCAGAAGTCACAGAGGTCAGAGTAACAGGCCCAGGGGTCATGTATATTCAGGGTCAAATGGGGTCCGGGGCCACGTGAGGATCAAGCTGGCCAGACAGGCGAGGTCTGGAGGGCCAGGAGGAGGGTGTGGGCGGTGCTCAGGCCCAGATGCCCATGCCCATCACTCGCCCCTGCAGCCGACAAGCCGGAGGAGAGGAGCCTGTGCTTCCGCCTGGTGAGCCCCGAGCACCAGTGCCAGCACCCGCTGGCCACGCGCCTCACCCGCCAGCTCTGCTGCTGCAGCGTCGGCAAGGCCTGGGGGGCGAGGTGCCAGCGCTGCCCAGCTGATGGCACCGGTGAGTCCGAGGCGTCTGGGCCAGGGGGCTGCTGGCTGTGTGCCTGTCCAGGAAATGCTCACCTCTCTGCCCCTTGCTCTGGCCACAGCCGCCTTCAAGGAGATCTGTCCCGCTGGGAAGGGCTACCACATCCTCACCTCCCACCAGACGCTCACCATTCAGGGCGAAAGTGACTTCTCCCTCTTCCTGCACCCCGACGGGCCGCCCAAGCCCCAGCAGCTGCCCGAGAGCCCCAGCCGGGGGCCGCCCCCTGAGAACGCAGAGGAAGAGAGAGGTCTGGCTTGACCCTTTCTATTCTCTGACAGACACTGAACCCCTAGGCCTGACCCCTTGGTTCCTGATCCATGGACATGACCTCACGGTGTAACTTCCAACACCGAATCCCTGTCCTAACCACTGACCTCCAGCGCTGACCCGCTCAACCCTGATCGACAGGACCTGACCAGCCATTGCTCTCCAGATCTAATCCTCTTTGATCTGCAGACCAGGCCATCGATTCAGCCCAAATGCTAACCCTAGATCTGACCTTCTGACCCCTGACCTAGCGATCTGACCCTGGCTGTAAGCTCCTCAACCTTATTCTATAACCAAGGACCTTACCAGCCAATCACTCTCCCTCTGGTCCCGTGACCTGTGCTGCCAGCACTCCATGGCCCCAGGATCTAACCCTTGACACCTGACTCTCAGAGCCGTAACTACGAGCACCCGACTGCTGACCCCAGACTGGACTCCCTTCCCCCAGCCCAGCACTAACGGCCCCCTTCTTCCCTTCCAGGGGTGAGCACCGAGTCAGTGAGTAGGAGAGCCCGGGGGGAGGGACAGGGAGGCCAGGAGGCCAGCGGGCTCATGCCGCCGTCGCCTGCAGCCAGGGACCGAGGAGCAGCCCGCACAGCAGAGCCACCCGACCGCCACCACGTCTCCTGCCAGGCCCTACCCCGGTGAGGGGCGCACCGGGGGCCAGTCCCCAGGGCTGTCCCTGCGGGGGGAGGTCACAGCCTCGGTACCGGGGGCCAGTCCCCAGGGCTGTCCCTGCAGTGGGAGGTCACAGCCTCGGTACCCGGGGCGGAAAGCTGGGGGTGATGTTTCCCGCTGAGGCCTGTGGAGATGGGGCCCCTCCCTCCTGCCCCTGACGGCTGTGCTGTGCCCCCAGAGCTCGTCTCCCGGCCCTCGCCCTCCACCGTGCGCTGGTTCCTGCCCGACCTGCCCCCGTTGGAGATCGCCCCTACTCAGGTCACAGGTAAGACCGGCGCCTCGTCCGCGCCCCAGGAAGCCTGCCCTCGCTTAGTGTGCCTCGTTCCGCCCTCCCCGGGGTCAGTGTAGAGCGCTTCCCTGGGGCTCACTGTGCACCGGGCCAGGGGGACCCCCGTGGGCAGCAGAGACCCCCCTCTGCCATCAATGGTGTGGGTATTATGGTGACCGATCCAGTCTGAAACCCCTTATTCAACAGATATTTACTAAGCACCTACTATGTGCAGGCACTGTGTAAGTGCTGGGAGACCAGAACAGACCCAAATGCCCTGTCCTTGCAGGGCAGGCAGACCTCAAGCAGATTAACGAATAACAATCTAGTTATTTCGTAAATGCTCTGGGAAAATAAACAAACCAGAGCAGAAGAAGGAAACCTGGGGGTTGTGAAGGTGCAGAGGGGCCGTGAGAGGAGACTTTCTGAGCAGGGCTTTGAGGACTGTTAGTAGCCAAAGAGGAGGAGGCTGGGAAAACACATTCCACGCGAAGTGAAGCTGGGCAAAGCCAGTGGAAACACGGAGAGGGAGGAACCACACACGGATCAGTGTTTCTGACAGAGCAGGCCGGTCCTGGAGCCTTGCTAAGAGGCTTGGGTTCCACCCCAAAGGCTGTGGGAAGTGCCTGCAGGGTTTGGGGCATCATAATTGCTAGCTGCAGCTGAGCAATCGCCTGGGCCGGGCACTGCCTGAAGAGTCCTACAGGCTAACTATCCTCTAGCCTCTCAGACTCTGTGAAGTGGGCTTCCAATGCGAAAGCTGAGGCTCAGAGAGGTTCAGTAACTTGCCCAGGTCACACAGCTGAGCTAGATTCAAGCCCATGCTTTTGTGGCTCCCAAAGCCACAAGGGAGCTGTCAGCCTGGTTGAAACCTGCCGGCTAGATGTGCTCCCGGGGAGGGCTCCTTGGACGGTGGCTGCCCTGGAGGCCTGCACTGACTAGGACAACCCGTGACAGCCTGGGGCTGTGGGGCTGAGGGAGCGGCGCCCGGGAGGTCCTCAGAGGAGGGGGTGTTAGGAACGCTTAGGAGAGGCACAGCCTGCCAGGGCCCACTGGCCGGGTGTGTGGGGGGAAGGGCAGGGTTCAGCGTCAAGGCCTGGACTGCGTGAGGATGGGGGAGGGGGAGTGTCAGGGGTAGCACCCAGAGGAGGAGGAGGAGGAGGAGGAGAAAAGTCCTGGGCCTGGTGACCAAGAGGGTGAGAGGGGTTCCTGGATCTGGCCACTTCTGCACACCCTGGGGCAAGCCCCAATCCCAGGAAGCCCGAGCCTGCCTGCCTTGGGAGGGGGAGGAACCAGGGGGGAAGGTCCCTGAGGCAAGGGGGGAGGGTCACTGGCTGGAGGATATTGGTGTGCCTAGGCTGCAGGGTTTAAAATATGGAGGTAACCAAGGTCAGGGGTCAGTGAGTGGACAGAATAGCAAAGGTTCTCCTCTCTTCTGCCATGCTGTCGCTGTCGGCGTAAGTGGGACAGAGCCCATGCAGGTATGGAATTAAAAAAAAAAAAAGGATAGCAAAGGTTCTGAGTTGAGGAGATAGGGGTGTCAGGGCTGGGGTGGTGGTTTGGGGTCATCTGGGAGGAGGTGTAGGGAATCCTAAGACTGGGCGTGTGGATGTGCAGGGCCCCCCCCCCCCCCGGTCAGGTTCCCCATCATTAGGAATGGGGGCCGCGGCGGAAAGTGAGCCCCTCCCCGCCCGCCCGCAGAGACGGACGAGTGCCGGCTGAACCAGAACATCTGCGGCCACGGCGAGTGCATCCAGGGCCCCTCGGGCTACTCCTGCCACTGCAACCCGGGCTACCGGGCGCACCCGCAGCACCACTACTGCGTGGGTGAGCGGGGCGGCGGGCGGCGGGGGCCCCGGCTCCCGGCGGCTCTGACTCCGCGCCCCCCGCCCCCCAGACGTGAACGAGTGCGAGGCGGAGCCGTGCGGCAGCGGCCGCGGCGTCTGCATGAACACCGGCGGCTCCTACAACTGCCACTGCAACCGCGGCTACCGCCTGCACGTGGGCGCCGGGGGGCGCTCGTGCGTCGGTGAGCGCGGGGCGGGGGCGGGGGACGGGGGGTGCACGGAGGGCGGGGTGCACGGAGGGCGGGGTGCACGGGGAGCAGGGTGCACGGGAGCGGGGTGCACGGAGGGCGGTGTGCCCGGGGAGCGGGGTGCCCGGGGAGCGGGGTGCCCGGGGGGCGGGGTGCACGGGGAGCGGGGTGCACGGAGGGCAGGGTGCCCCGGGAGCGGGGTGCACGGAGGGCGGGGTGCCCCGGGAGCGGGGGTGGGGTAGGGACCGCCCCGGCACTCCGCGCCCCTCCCCGCAGACCTGAATGAGTGTGCCAAGCCCCACCTGTGCGGCGACGGCGGCTTCTGCCTCAACTTCCCCGGCCACTACAAGTGCAGCTGCTACCCCGGCTACCGGCTCCGCGCCGCGCGCCCGCCGCTGTGCGAAGGTGGGCGCCTCCGCTGTGCCCGACCGGGCCCTCCCCGACCGGGCCTCCCCGACCGGGCCTCCCCGACCGGGCCCTCCCCGACCGAGCCCTCCCCGACCGGGCCCTCCCCGACCGGGCCCTCCCCGACCGGGCCCCCCCCGACCGGGCCTCCCCGACCCGGCCCTCCCCGACCGGGCCTCCCCGACCCGGCCCTCCGCTGTGCCCGACCGGGGTGGGAGCCTCCGAGGCTGGGCCCGGAGCCCCGAGGGCCGCTCGCCCGGGTGGGCGGCGGCGGCGGCGGAGGCTGTGCCCAAACGGCCCTCTCTCCGGCGCAGACATCGACGAGTGCCGAGACCCCGGCTCCTGCCCGGACGGCCGCTGCGAGAACAAGCCGGGCAGCTTCAAGTGCACCGCCTGCCCGCCGGGCTTCCGCAGCCAGGGCGGCGGGCCGTGCCGCGGTGAGGGGCCGCCTGCCTTCGGGGGCGGTGAGGGGGCCGCCTGCCTTCGGGGGCGGTGAGGGGGCCGCCTGCCTTCGGGGTGGCGGGGCCGCGGTGAGGGGCCGCCTGCCTTCGGGGGGCGGTGAGGGGGCGTCCGCCTTCGGGGGTCGGGGCCGCGGTGAGGGGCGGGGCCGCGGTGGGGCGGGGCCTCGGCGGGGCGGGGCGGGGCCGCGGTGGGGCAGGGCCGCGGTGAGGGGCGGGGCCACGGTGAGGGGCCGGGCCGCCTGGGGGCGGGGCTTCGAGGGCGATTGTGAGGGGGCCGCCCCGGGGCTGCTCCCGCCGGGGCGGGGCTCCGAATGGGGCGGGGCGGGCGGGGCTCGCCGCGGGGGAGCGTCCCCTCCCGGGCGGGGCCTCCGGGATTGGATGGTCCCCACCCGCACCCCCACCCACCCCCGCACCCGCCCCCGAACCCACACTCCCACCCGCACCCGCCCCCGCACCCCCACCCGCACTCACACCCGCACCCCCACCCCCGCGAAGGGGACCCCCACCCCCGCGGAGGGGACCCCGCGCCCGCACGATGCCCCGCGCCGGGGGCGGGTCCGAGCCGCGCTCTGTGCCGCAGACGTGAACGAGTGCGCCGAGGGCAGCCCGTGCGCGCCCGGCTGGTGCGAGAACCTCCCCGGCTCCTTCCGCTGCGCCTGCGCCCAGGGCTACGCGCCCGCCGCCGACGGCCGCCGCTGCCTGGGTGAGCCCCGCCCCGGCACCCACTCCACCCACAGCCCCGCCCCCGGCACCCACTCCCACCCACAGCCCCGCCCCGGCATCCACTCCCACCCATAGCCCCGCCCCGCCCCGCGCCCACTCACCCACTCCTGCCCACGTCCCCGCACCCCCGCACCCACTCACAACCTCCCTGCCCCGCGCCCCGGAACCCACTCATCCACCGCCCTGCCCCGCCCCCCCCGCCCCCACTCACCCGGGCTGGGCACTGGGTCCGCACGGGGGTCAGGAGGTGACGATTGCACCCCTCCCTTCGCTCACTGATCGGTTCACTCGTGTCCTCAGAGAATGGAGGGGCCACCGGAATGTCCACGTAGCGAGGGTCTTAGGGGCGGCATTTGCAAAGCACGTTCCTTAGATTAAAAGAAGGAGGAAAGGATGGAGGGCGGATAAGGAATGCCCCGCTGCACCAGTGTTTCTCCTGCCCCCAGGCCCCTCGGGGACCGAAGCACAGACGGCAGAGCACAGGCTGAGGCCTGGAGGAGTTGGGGTGCTCTTGGGCGACAGCAGGGGGGCTGGGAGGAGGGGAGGCCTGGATTGTCTTAAGAGATCACCAGGAATTAGCGATAAAGGAGGGCGGGAGGGACTCGGAGGGGCAAACAGGCGTGTGTGGGAGCTGTAAGGCCGGAGCAGGGGCGGAGACTGGCTGCTGAGGGGCAGGCCCTCACCCTTGCACCCCCACCCCCTGAGGGTGAGACTCATCCTGAGGGTGAGAGGCACTGGGCGTTCAGAGGAAGAGGATTCACTAGTTGCTTCAGCGAGTCCCTGACGCCAGTGTGGAGAGCGCTGGGACTGGGCCGCTGGGAGACTGGGGACAGATGCTGCGGATGTGAGGAGAGTGGTGCCTCATGGTCACGAGAGGGTGCGATGTTAGAGAAGGGTTAACTGGATGTCCGGGGGAGGGAGAGAGAGAACGGAGAGAGGGGCCCTCCAGATTTCTAGTTGGGGTGGCTCAGTGGGCGGTGCTCCTCACTGGGTGAGGGTCCCCAGGAGTGGGCATGTGTGAGGAGGACATAAGCTTCATGTTGGACAGGCTGAGTGGGTGGTCCCTGTGGGCCTCTCAGCGGAGATGCCAGCAGAGGGGGGGCCATGCGGACTGGAAGCCTTGAGCAGACACACCCACCCGGACGGGGGGCTGTGGGACTCCAGGGTGTGCTTGCTCAGCCAGGACGGTGGGTCCCTGGAGGGGAGCTTGGCGGAGCCTTGGGGACACTGTGCTTGGCTGGCAGACGGGGGGACAGGAGCGGGCAGTGGGGAGGAGGGGAGATGGCCCAGGAGCACAGCTGAGAAGCTGGGAGGGGAGGCTTCCAGGGAGAGGAGGAGGAGCTCAATGCAAGAGAGGACCTTGTGAACTCACTGGTGACAGAATAAGGCCCCCGTGGCATGATGGGAGCCAGGAGATGCAGGTGACACGGAGGAGGAGCGGGAGCTGGGGTGCAGGAAGGCGGGCCACGGGGCAGCAGGGCAGCTGGGGGAGGAGCAGGGGCAGGAGGACCATCTTCTCTAACGGAGCGGAAGAAGTGGACAGACATGATGGTTTTCAGGAGGTTCATTCCCCCTTCATCCCCCCAGGCAGACGTGAAGGGCCAGCGCTGAGTAGGGGACTTGGGAACCGGCAAGGTTTAGGAACTGGCCTCGGGGCTTTCCAGAAGTCAGGGCTGGAGAGGGGAGAGGGTGGTCATGGCTACACAGGACCCCGCCAGGGGAGGGCCATGGCCCCGTGTGCCCAGCTTGGTGGCTGGATCGAGCCCCCTCAGCAGGTCCGGAGGCGGAGGGGCAGGCCGTGGCTGTCTTTGCCAGGCCAGTGAGGAGAGGAGAGGTGGCCACAGGCCCTGGGAGAGACCTGGGACGGCCGAGGCAGAGGAAGGAAGCAGCCTCTGAGACAGAAGCCCAAGGCGGGGCAGGTCCCAGCCCCTGGTCCCGAGAGGGAGCAGCTGCCTCTGAGGTGGTGACAGACCGAGGGACCAAGGCCAGAGGCTGGGCCTGGCTGTCCACATGGATGCTGGAAGCTTCTAGGATGCGGAGGAAGACAGAGGGAGGGGACCAGGAAGGGGGGTGCTGACGGCCATAGCATAGAGAATGGAGGCTGGCACGGGGCCGGGGCACCTCCACGGCTGGAAGGAGTCTGGGGTGTGGGTCACATCATCTACCAGAGAGGACCCTGGAGAAACCAGGTTCCTAACTTCCTGTGAGAGGACAGACGTACAGGAAGCACACGGACACGGGGAGAAAGGGGCTGTGGCAGGTGGCGGGGGGATAAGAGAGACGTGAGAGGAAGGCCGGGGCAGTATGGGGAGAGCGGAGGCAGAAAGATGCCTCTGGCTTGGTGAGGATGAGCGACGGAGGGAAGGCCCACACTTTTCAGAATCAGACAGGGCCAGGGTCCTTGGCAGCACTGGCCTGCGCCCAGGGCACGGTGTCCCACTTGGGAGTGGGGTGAGGGTCCCCTGCTTCTCCTGAGCTCTCCAGGCCCATGGCAGGTGTGGGAAAGGGCGGGAGAGGCCTGTGACACGGCCTCCATCCCCGCCCTCTAATCCCTCCCCCCGCCCCCGTGCCCCGCAGACGTGGATGAGTGCGAGGCCGGGGACGTGTGTGATAACGGCATCTGTACCAACACGCCAGGCTCCTTTCAGTGTCAGTGTCTCTCCGGCTATCATCTGTCAAGGGACAGGAGCCGCTGTGAGGGTGAGGGGCGCCTACAGCTGGGCGGCTGGCCTGTACCTCCCTCCCCGCCAACCTCCGCTGCCCAGGCCCCAAGTCCAGGAGCTACCCGTAAACAAGCCAACCATCCCCTGGCCTGGCCCCATCCTCAGCCAAGACGGGACATGGAGCGTGGGCCACACCGGGGTCTGCGGGCAGCCTGGGCAGCCTCAGGTCTGTGAGGAGGCAGCTCCTGAGATTCCTCCCTCCCATCCCCCTGCAGACATTGATGAGTGCGACTTCCCTGCAGCCTGCATCGGGGGTGACTGCGTCAACACCAATGGCTCCTACCGCTGTCTCTGTCCCCAGGGGCACCGACTGGTAGGCGGCAGGAAGTGCCAAGGTATGGGGGATTGGGTGTGAGGGAGGAGGAGTGGCAGGGAGCAGGGATCTCCAGACACATGTTGATCCGGCTGTCTTTTTGTCTACCTGTCCGCTCAGGCATCCTTCCACCCTGTCACTTAGAATAACAGTAGCAATGACAGTGATTACGCGGTGCCTACTGCATGTCACGTCACCTGGACGTGTATTCATCCAGCAGGAGTTTACTGAGAACCTATTATTTCTCGAGCAGTGGCCCAGGGCCTCCCAGCTCGGGGAGGCTGGCGTGCAAACTGATTCTTACAGTGCAGGGTGCTGGGTGCTGGGTGCCCAAAGTGTCTGAACTAGATTCATTGCAACGGAGTTGAATCGGAACCTAAAGCATAAGTATGTTCCCTCCCTCTTCTCAGCAGAGAGAAGCACGGGGTGGCACTCCAGACCAAAGACCAGTGTTTGCAAAGCGCAGAGGTCTGAAGGAGCTGGTTGTGTTAAGGAGGGCGCAGAGGAGGGATGTTGGCTGTTGAAAGGGTGATGGGACTTAAAGCTAATGGGAGACCAAAATGAAAAGTTCTCACGTGCTGACCTGAGTGTTAGGGCTTCACTCTGTTGTCAGTGGGACTGACCCCTGCTCACAACAGCTGCGGATTCATTTAGGATTCACAGGCTGCCCGTGTTCACACATCCACCCCATGCACACAGACAGGAGGGCTTCCTGTTGTGCGTGCTTTGAAGTCAAAGTGGAAGTTCAGGTTCTGAGCTTGTGTGAGGCCCTTGAGGCACCCCCCTCCCCTGGGGAAGGAGCTGGTTTCCCCCTGAGCGGCTCTTCCTGTCCCCTCACTCCCTGAAGACATAGACGAGTGCAGCCAGGACCCGGGCCTGTGCCTTCCCCACGGGGCCTGCGAGAACCTGCAGGGCTCCTACGTCTGCGTCTGCGATGAGGGCTTCACGCCCACCCAGGACCAGCACGGCTGTGAGGGTGAGTGCCTCCCCGGGCCCTCTTCTGGCCAGGTGACGCCCCTGAGCTGCAGCTGGGGTTCAGAGATGTACCCTGGTCCCAGCCTCTGGAATCTGGGCAACAGGGAGACGTTTCTTTTGCCTGGAAGAATCCAGTGGGCCAGACCTGGCTTGAGGGTGGAGGGTGGCCATCCCTGGGTGGCTCTGGGGAGGAGGGAGTGTGGGGAGCAGAGGGATGAGGCTGGCGGGGTGTGGACCGGAAAACACAGCATCAGCGCCCTGAGCTGCCCTTCCCCCCTCAGAGGTGGAGCAGCCCCACCACAAGAAGGAGTGCTACCTGAACTTCGATGACACGGTGTTCTGCGACAGCGTGCTGGCCACCAACGTCACCCAGCAGGAGTGCTGCTGCTCGCTGGGGGCCGGCTGGGGAGACCACTGTGAGATCTATCCCTGCCCGGTCTACAGCTCAGGTCAGGAGCCGGCAGGCCCTTCCCCTTCCCAGACCCTCTTTCTTCGTTGGGAAAAGAACTGGGGGGGAATGAAGCTGAGGGCTCCGAGGTGAAACGGCAGGCAGGCAGGCAGGCATGTGCTGCTCAATCCTTCCGCTCTCATCCGCAGCTGAGTTCCACAGCCTCTGCCCGGACGGGAAGGGCTACACCCAGGACAACAATATCGTCAACTACGGCATCCCAGCCCACCGCGGTGAGCCCCGCCCCTCCGCCAAGCTCCTCCCCTCCTCCAAGCTCCTCCCCTCCTCCAGACCCCGCCCATCCTCCAGGCTCCTCCCCTCCGCCAGGCCCCCGCCCCCCGCCAGGCCCCGCCCCCTCTGAGCAGCCCAGTTCCGGTCAGCCTGGCTCCCTGTCCGGTCCGGGCTCCCAGGCCTCAGCGGCCCCGCAGGGGGAGGCTGCTGAGCCCCACGGTGTCCCTCCGCAGACATCGACGAGTGCATCTTGTTCGGGGCGGAGATCTGCAAGGAGGGCAAGTGCGTGAACACGCAGCCCGGCTACGAGTGCTACTGCAAGCAGGGCTTCTACTACGATGGGAACCTGCTGGAGTGCGTGGGTGAGTGCCGGGCCGGCGGCCGGGGAAGCGGCCCGGAGACACGCAGGGCCCCGGGCCGGCTGCTGCCACCGTGGTCTCTTCCCTGCAGACGTGGACGAGTGCTTGGACGAGTCCAACTGCCGGAACGGCGTGTGCGAGAACACCCGGGGCGGCTACCGCTGCGCCTGCACGCCCCCCGCCGAGTACAGCCCGGCCCAGCGGCAGTGCCTGAGCCCCGCGGAGATGGGTGAGGCCCGGCTGTGGCTGGGGAAATGGAGGCAGGCGGTGGCCCGGGATGAGCGGTGACACCTCCCCCATCCATGCCCCGCTGTCCGTAGACGTGGACGAGTGTCAGGACCCCGCAGCCTGCCACCCTGGCCGCTGTGTCAACCTGCCGGGCTCCTACCGCTGCGAGTGCCGCCCGCCCTGGGTGCCCGGGCCCTTTGGCCGAGACTGCCAGCTCCCCGAGAGCCCGGCTGGTGAGGGCGAGGGTCCTCGGCACGGACTCCAGGGCCCCTCGGCTGTGTGAAGCTGGGGGCGCAGGTGGGTGGTCCCCGCTCCGGGCTTCTCCCTAACACGCCCCCTCCGCAGAGCGCGCCCCGGAGCCGCGGGACGTGTGCTGGGCCCAGCGCGGGGAGGACGGCATGTGCGCGGGCCCCCTGGCCGGGCCCGCCCTCACCTTTGAGGACTGCTGCTGCCGCCAGGGCCGCGGGTGGGGTGCCCAGTGCCGCCCGTGCCCGCCGCGCGGACCTGGTGAGCCGACCAGGGAAGGGTTGGGGGGGGGGAGCACGGGGCAGAGCTGACCACGCTGACCACTGGCTGCCCCTCCAGGGTCTCAGTGCCCCACCTCGCAGAGTGAGAGCAATTCCTTCTGGGATGCGAGCCCCCTGCTGCTGGGGAAGCCGCCGCGCGGTGAGTAGGGAGGGGACAGGCGGGGGTCCGGCCATCGCTGGGGCGGTGCTGACCTCTGTGTCCTGCCGGCCGGCGCAGAGGAGGACAGCTCGGAGGAGGACTCGGACGAGTGTCGCTGTGTGAGCGGCCGCTGCGTGCTGCGGCCGGGCGGCGCGGTGTGCGAGTGCCCGGGCGGCTTCCAGCTGGACGCGTCCAGAGCCCGCTGCGTGGGTGAGCCGGCGCGGGGCGGGGCGGGGCCTGGACAGCAGCTCAGGGCTGTGCAGCTCGGGTCCCCTCCAAAGTCCTCACCTGTCACCCCACCTCCAGACATCGACGAGTGCCGAGAGCTGAACCAGCGCGGGCTGCTGTGCAAGAGCGAGCGCTGCGTGAACACCAGCGGCTCCTTCCGCTGTGTCTGCAAACCGGGCTACGCGCGCATCCGCCCGCACGGGGCCTGCGTGTCCCAGCGTCCCCAGCGTCGCCGCTGACACCACGTTCAACCGGGACCTCAGCGATCACCCAGCGGTTTCTGCCCGACAATGGGGCGAGCTCAGCCTCTAGCTTCTGCCGGGACCCGGGGTCGGACCCAGGGACCGCCAGGCCTGTAGCCCCTTCCAGGGCCCTGGTCCCGAGGGTGCCCATCTGGCTCCACCTGGTTACAGGTGGATGTGGGGTCTCAGGGCGCTGCCGGCCTTCCTCCAGAGGGTTTCCTAGAAGCTGATAAATCAGACCCTGCCTCTTTATTCTTGGCTTTTGAAGCAAATTGTATATTCACCTCCGTGGTAGGCATGGACTCTGCAGGGCAGTGCCAGACCCAGCCTCCTCGGAGGGGCTAGAAGAGCCCAGCACAGGGGTGTGAAATAGAATTTATTGTGGCCCTGATTATGTACATGTGATGTGCCTGGCCGGGCTGGCCGGGCTGGCATGGTTTGTACAATAAATACATCCACAGGGCTGTTCCCCGTGGCCAGGAAGCACCCACATCAGTTCAGTCCAGCTTCCGGGTCCCCAGCTTCATGGGGCCCTTGGCGGCCTTCTTCTCGGCACGTTTGGCTTCCATCTCCCGCCGACGTTCCTCCCGCTTCTTCCGGGCCAGCTCAGCCTTCACCTGCCCTGCAACGGGAAGGGAGGCAGGCTGAGGGCCTGGGGCCAAGCTGGGTCTGATTCCCTGTCAGGCCTGCCAGAGGGGTGAGGTGAGGACTGCCCTGGGGTGTCAGCCCTCCTCGGGGAGCACTCACGGCTCTCGGTCTCCAGGCCATCCCAGTTGTCATCACCCCACGAATCGGGTCGTGGCTGAAAAGGAAGCAGGCACTGAATGGGAGACCAGCTCCCTGTGGGGTCCTTCCCAAGTCTGCACCTCCCACGGGACTGGAGTCGAGTACCTGGGTGCCAGGCTCCCGACGCGCCACCAGGTCAGCAAAGGGGTCGCCTTTGTCGCCGGGCTCTGGCCCACCCCAGTTATACTCGCTGGTCAGCTGTGTGCCCTCAGGGGGTGGCTCCTGGGCACTTGGCTCCTGCCAACCCTGCTCCCACGAACCCTCAGCTTCCCAGCTGCTCCAGTCCGACTCAGGAGATTTGTGATCAGGGTTGCTGGTCTGCAGTCGAGAAGGGGGAGGTAAGGCCAGACGGAGGGGCCAGGCACAGCTCTCCCTGCAGACACACACCTGCCCCCTGCACTCACCTGCCCAGCGCGGCTGGCTTGGCCCCCAGCACTCCAGTTGTCCTGCTGGGCTAACACAGACTCGGCCTCCTGCTACAGTGTGGAAAGGAAAGGCTATGGGACCACCCCACCTCCAACCCCAAAGGGCCTTCCTCGCCACGGGTTCCACCCTTCTTCCTTTTGCTTCTCCCGTCAATGAGGCGCACACACTGCACCTGCCTCCACACTCTCCTAGGCTGGGAATGAGTCCAGTCCCACCCCTCCCCCAGACTGCGGTCAGGCAGATGGGGAAACGGGCCCAAAGCTCTACCCCTTTCCTCCAGCAAAGCCCACTCCTCCTCAGCCGGGCATGACCTCGTGCCCCAGGAAGGACTGGTCTGGATCTAGGCCTGGGAGTGGCCTCTCCTTGCTGGGCACTGAAGCAGGTGGAGGGACAGGGACTGACGAGACGGAGGCTCAGTGGGCTGCTCCAGCCCGTGCCCTCCGGCCTCTCCCCGCCCGCCCTGCTTCCTGGAGTCACATCTGCCAGCTCTGGCCACTGTGGCCGCTCCATGATGTCTACTCAGCAGGGAGGCTGTGCAGGTGCGGACAGGCCTGGACAGACCGAGCCCACAGGGGCCCCTTGAATGGCAGCCTGTGGCCTTTAAGCTGGGGTCCCCCTGGGAGGCCCCCTCAGCCCCACTCACCTCCAAGCTGCCCCAGTCTTCGTCATCCCATCGGTCGGCAGTGCCGCTGTCCTCCGCTGTGTCCTTGCCCTCCGGGGCCTCCCAGTGTGCTGAGGTGATGGGGGTGGGAGGGGCCGGCGTGGGGGCCGGGGCAGGAAGTCCTGGGAAGCAGAGACTCACTGAGTTCCCACACGTTGGGACCCAGAAAAGTCTCCGAACAGGGCAGGATTTTTGGGGGTGGGGGCAGAGTGTAGGGAGGAGAAGCTCACCAGGGGACCAGACCCAACCCTGTCCCCTATGTCACCAGCCCAGGGGGTCAGACAAGAAAGCTCTTGGGTACCAGCACCTCCCGCCCTTGGCCACTGGGGCGGCCGGTCTGGGACACTCACCCTCAGGCGGGGGTCTCGGGGAGACGCTGGGCTCACCCGGGGCAGCCGCGGGGTGGGCACGGATCAGCTTGGAGGTGAGCGAGGAGACCCCTGTCACGGCCCATCCTGCCCAGCTGGCTGCGGCTCCCCCCATTCCAGGGCTGGAGGCGGCGTGGACATCCTTCTCTGGCGGTGACAGGAGACAGGTGAGGCACTCAGCGCCCAGGGGGAGTGTGACGGACAGAGTGAAACAGGGCTCTAGCGTGGGCACCCTCCTCCAGCCTGCCTTCCCTCATCGAAACATGGCCGTGAACAGAATCAGGTCTGCGCTCTCGGGTTCTCCCGCTTCCGGAAACTCCCGTGAGGTGGAAGGGGCCAAAACGCGTGGTTGGCAAGGATGGAGCAGGAGGGAACGTGGGTGTGGGCCACTCACCCACTTCAGCTAGCTGGGTGGGGTCCTCTGACACAGACTCCAGTTTGGAAAGGAAACTTCGAATGGCTTTGAAGGCCTGTGGGGTAGCAAGGGGCAGAGCTGGGGCTTCCAGGGCTCCCGTGAGCCCGAGAGGCCAGCGAGGGCCCACGTGTCCCCCGAGCCCCGCTCCAGGGCCAGGCCCCGTTTGCGCTCACCTGGTCCCGCACAGACTTCTCGGGATCCACGGTGAGGCTGCAGAGCACAGGCAGGATTTTGTGGGCGCAGTCATTCATGGAGTAGAGGTTGTGGGTGGCAGCGAAGCCCAGAACACCGGCAACCCGAGACGGTGCAAACGGGTCCTTAGTGGCCCGGCTGAAGGCGGAGATGAGGACCCTGTGTCTGGTCTGGGTGGAGCAGGAGAGAGGGCCCCTGAGTGTAGGGTCAGTCCTGGGGCCCAGAAGTGCCAGGCCTCACTTCCCAGAGCAAAGGCCATCCGTGCACAGGGCTCCCAGGGGCTAAAAAAGGGGTTAGTCACTAACAAGTGGGGGTGAATTTACTTAAAACTCTGGATCTTGGCTTCTCCTCCCAGACCACTGGACCACGGCCTCAAGGTGACGGGGGCCGGAGCAGCAGCTGCCCTGGGGTGGGGTTGTGCCTCCTTCCCACCTGCCCCCCTGACCCAATCCACTCATTCACTGCCTGGGCACTGCAGGCGTCTGCATTTACAGAACCTGGCTGAGAGGTTGCACATAGACTGTGGGGCCCAGCAGGCCTGGGTTCAGTTCCCAGACCCACCACCAACTGGCTGTGTGACCTGCACAGCTCACTCCACCTGACAGCAGGGCTGGAGGACCTGGGACTAGGTCTCTGGCAGGAAGATGGTCACAAACAAGGAGGCCTGCCCCGGGGGAGGCCGCGGTCCTGACAGGACAGAGCTGACAGCTGTGCAGGCACTCACACTGGCGCTGAGGTAGGAGCCGATCTTGCCCAGGCAGACGGTGGTGTTGCAGCGGATGGGGCCCTGCTCGTCCTTGGCCTGCAGCCGAGCGAAGTGCTTCATCAGCTCCACGTTGAGGTTGGCCTCGTTCAGCTTCGGGGCCAGGAGCAGCATGGACTGCAGGGTGGGACAGCGCACATTGTGGGCCTGGGCCTCCCAAATCTGCCAAAGCCCTCCCAAACCTCCCTCCCAACCTGGTCCTGTCCCCACCCACAGTGCTGAGGAAGGGACCCCACTTCCCCTCTCCCTCTCCAGCAGAACCTCCTAAGTCTGCCTGCACTCCGGTCTCCCACCTCTCATCTGCTCTCGGGCATGCCTTCAACTCTACTCGACTTCCACCCCACGCACCAGCCGGCTCAGGGGGAGGGCAGTGGCCTCCATGCTGTTGGACCCAATGGCCAATCTCCATCCTCACCCAACTCGACCCTCAGCAGCTCTGACACCCTGAGCTCTCTCTCCTCTTTGAAACTTTGGTGTCTGGTCTTCCAGACCAACCCCCCGTCCTGGTTACCCTCTGACCCCGCCAGCTGCTCCTTCTTGGCCTCCTTCTGCTGAGTGCTTACTGTTCAGACCCCAAGGCCACCGTCAGGCCACTTCCTTTTCAGACCTCACCCTCGGTGCTCTCAGCCTCCCAGGGCTCTGAATGCCCCTTAGCCGACAATGCCCTGATGCGCACCTCTAGCCCAGACTCCGTCCCTAAACTGCACATGTGATAGCCAGAGGGCGTCCCCATTGGCTAACAGACATGATGACCGAGACTCAGCCCAACTCCTCCCGCACACCTGTCCCTCCCGGTCTTCTCTGTAAATGGCGACTCAACCTTCCAGCTGCTTCGGGCAGAAGCCTCGGGGCCTCCCTGACTCCATATCCACGCATCAGCGAACACCAGATTTCACCTTCAGAGTGGCCCTCCTCTCTCCTGCTGCAGCTTTTCACCTCTCAGCCTCTGCCAGCTCTCACCTGGGCCGCTGCCACAGGCCCTCACAGTACCTCAGCTTCTGGCCTTGCCCTGAGTCAATTCTCCACACAACACAGCGGTTCTTTTCAAACAAGTCAGACCAGGCCAGTGCTTGGCTCCTGTCCCATCAAATACATCAGCTCCCTGCCACTCCCTATGAGGCCCCGGCCCCCAACCCCACCAATCTCCCAGGGCCCACGCCCACACCCAGGCCCTTCAGCCTCACTGAACCGCTTGCTGCTATTTCTATACTCCAGGCACTTGCCAGCCTCAGGACCTTCGCACATGCTGTTCCTGCTGCAGGAGGCACATTTCCTTCAGACCTCCACGTACCTCAATCCTTCACCGTTCCTTAACTGACTCCTCCTTGGCAAGGTCTACCCCAACTACTGTTTGTAAAACTCTTCTCTTCACATTCTGTTACTTCC